TACTTCCTGCCAATTTATTTTGATTTTAGAAAGCCAATCTCGGCCAAACAACGTGGGCATTCTAGCACCCTGCGTTTCTTTCGCTATGACAAGTGGCAGTTCGAAACACTGGTCTTGGTATTGCACCTTTACATCCATAATACCAACAGTAGGGACCGTCGTGCCATTGTACGTGGCTAGTTTGACATTTGCTTGCCTGCAAGAGGCGTTTGGGAAGTGTTTAGCACACTCTGTTTCTGACATTATTGACACCGCTGCGCCCGTGTCAAGTTCCATGGGTATCACTTTATCATTTATGCAAACCTTGATTACAATGGCGGGCATACCTTCTTTGTGGTTCGTATTATACAGAGATAGCAGTTCGTTAGTATTTTCTTTCTCGCATTCTTCGCTCTCTACTCTATTTACAAGCTTAGATTTGCACATTTTAGCAACATGACCCCTTTTTGTACACCTATAACAGGTACTGTTCAGAAATCGGCAACTCACGGGTGAATGCTGTCCTCCGCAACGATGACACATTCTTTTCGTTTGTTCTTTCGCTGCCCCATTTTCCTTGTCCCAGCTGGACTGCGTCGGCGCTTCCCTCGAAGGTGCTTTACTCGGTTGTGAGATTTTCCGTTGCCAGTAGATGTCCTCCGTTTCTACAGCTGCTCCTTTAGAACTGGTTTGCAGCATTTCTTTCGTGTCTTGTGTTGCCGCTTCCATGGCCATGGCTACGCTGCATGCGCGTTCCCACGTTACTTCCTCGTCTGGCATTGCCAATAGCCTGCACCGTACTCCCTCGGTACGTATTCCAGCGACGAGCCGGTCACGCAATGCTTCGGTCAAAAAGGCACCGAATTCGCATGTTGCCGCGAGTTTCTTCAATTCGACTATAAAGTCTGCGACAGTCTCATGCGGCTCTTGCTTTCGCTGGTGAAAACGATACCTTTCGGTGACCACGGAGCGCTTGGGAGCGTAATGCTTCTTCAGAACGTCAACAACTTCCGTGAATGACGTCTTAGCTGGTGTTTTAGGCAGCAGCAAGCTCCGAAGCGTGACGTAGGCCTTCTCACCTATAGCCGTGAGAAAGATTGGAAGCTTCTTGTCTTCCGCGATGTCATTGGCCGCGGCAAATACTTCGAACCGCTCCAGGTATACCTCGAAGTTACCGTCCTCTTGTTGGAACTCGGGTAACTTACCGACAGTGGTCGCCATACTCAGTTCAAGCTGGTTAGAGTGGGATTCCTAGAAGCCTGCGGCGGATCCCATCCTCGTCGCCAGTTGTTATATCCCGACACCGGGCACATGGTATCACATCTTTATTACTGAGGCGCACACTGCCAGCCTCAACACAAGCAGTACAAAACAGAATAACCCCTCCAGATACTGTGGACAGTATATGTACACACGCTATCTCTCGGCGCATGCGCAACTGGCAGTAGCTTGAGAGCATGCATACAAACCCCGCGACTGACGTCACAACAGCTTCCTAGCTATTCCATGCAACATCAGCCTAGTACTTGACGTACTTCCCGTCAATAAAAAGGCATCACTGTATTGTATATGCGATCGTGCACGTAAAGTGTGTAATTCCAGTGCGCACACAACTAACACGCAGCGAGTGTATACCGTACAATGCATACACAGTTAGTCCGGTAACAAGAAAAGTTTAGTGTCCTTTCGTATGAAGGACAAAACTTCTAAAAACACGACACAATGCCTACAACAGTAAAAACGAAAGTTCGCGTGTGTTCTCAGTTGACACAATGAGTACGAACCAACGGAGCGTACAGCTGAGAGCTCCGGATGCAAATGTTATCAACAGTGAAGCGAAAATGCGTGAAAAGTGCCACGAAGTACATAGGGCGGTGCACGCGATTCCCACAGAGTATACATTACAGCTGGGCATCGCACAGCTTTTCTAAAAATAAACACGCAAAAGAAGCAGCACTCGTGGGTTAACTTGCTGCCAGCAGAAAACACCGCTTCCAAGGCAGCTGCGGTGGCTGGTCGCCGGAAATCGCGAAGTGCTTATCTGCTTCTCCGCCAGGAGGTAGTGCGGATGTTTGCGATGTGGCGGCTTCACAAATATGACGTCATGGCCTCTCCTATATTTTTCCTTCCTCCATGTTGCTTAGCATCAGCGGTTTCTCGTGGTAGTGTGGCTAGAATGGAGAGGTGTGAAAAGCGAGCCGTGCTTCCCTTGCCGAGCTGTGCCGCGGTGCGCGAGATCTTCGCTAGGCCGTGATTTGGCGTAGCAATCGGAGGCGCTGCTGCTAGCGCAGCGGAGACGGCTGCAGATGGTGTGTACGCCAAGGGAGGCTGCTGGTCACGCGGGTGCAGATCGTGCGCTCAAAATTTTTCCCTTTTTTGTGCGCTCTGGCATGCAAAGAGAGGTTAGCAAAATGGGAGTGCACCATCGCAAGGGCGAACAAAGCACTCCAGGAAACTTCCATCGTCTGCAAAATACATTTCGACGCATGGTAAATGTTTTGAATTTATTTAAGGGCAGAAAATACTTGTATGTATGTGTGGAAGGCATCGGCAAGTGGAGATATTGAATTCTTGGTGGTGCTCTTAAATGTTCAGCCATAGCTTTTTGATAAACACATTTATTTACCTGAAAATTATGTCTTCTCACTTGGTTCTTAGATTCAGCCTGCGAGAATTCGTGCATATTGTGGAAGGACAGGAAGAATTCAGCGTGACAAGACTAGTTTAAAGGATGATGCGGTACGCCTCTTATTCCCAAACCTGCCAAAACATATATCGGAGAGTTTGCCTAGAGAAGGAAAAAGACGAAATGCTGCTTCATCGGACTACGTACCAGCAAAGAAGTGTCCCGATAGCCCTAGCATGTTAGAGGATTGCCCGAATTACTCAATGAGCTGCCAAGGCAGGCGACTAGAGATGGGGCTCTAAGGCGACTTCTGTATCCGTCAGTCTCTGTAAAACCAGGTGGAGACTATAGAAGCCAAGTTGACACATGTGTTTAGCACAGTGCATGCGCCTGCATTCGAATTTAGTAGCCAGTCTTCTACTATCTCTAAGCAGTTTCCGGAAATTGGCTGCATTGAACATTGCAAAGAGCTGAACAAAGCAGTGGTCAAATTATTTTGCGTGACGAGAGTTCTTTTTTTTTTTTTTGAAGGGTCCCAACCAAGCAAAAAGCGAGGAAAAAGTCAAGCGATTGAAACCCTGTGTCACGTAAAAGATGTCTGTTAGTGACTTACTGTAAGAAATTTTGTTGCAGCCATGAAACTAAGTGTTGTCTCAGTTTCTAAACATGTTTCAGAATACTGCCTCAAGTGTAATACAAATCCAGCATTGAGAAAATGGCAATGCGAAACTGTACTCGGTAAGTGGCACTGTCTAGGCAGATTTAGCAACAGACGTTGTCACAATCTATCGTGGGTTAGCACAAGGTGTAATGTTGAAAAACTAACATCATCAAAGATACCACGCTCCACTAGAGCAAGCTTTTTTTAACTTCGTTAAGACGCAGTAAAATATAGAAAATAAAATCGTTTTGGTTTCCCCGAGCGTATATACAGTAATGCTGTCAGAATGACGATCCATCAAAAACTTCACTTTAATGGAATGTTCATTCAGCGAAAGATGCGTTTATTCATAATTGGTGAAATTGCTGTTTGATATTTACTTTGACAAAACCCTTCTACTGGCCCAAAACTCGAAACGACCATTGCAGGTGCATTGCAACGAAGAAAGCTGGCAGCACCTCCGACTACAGCGCCACCGCTGCAGGCTCGCGAGCGCGAGCCACCTCGGAGCGGCCGGTTTTCACACCTTCCACTTTTAGCCACCCTACAGGAAGTGTCAACGCATGTTTTGGACTTCGTCGACGTATTTTCAGGTTCTGAAAATGCATCAAAATGTTAAATATTGGGTTTACTGTATAGCAATAAATATCTGAGCCTGGAATCGCATTGTGAAATTTCGATGAAGTGGGATGGCAGAAGAAAAAAAAGAATTGGCCCGAATCCACATGTTACACTGTAAATGTCGTCGAAAGACGATAGTCTTGTGTCTGGAAAAAGTGAACAAAATGTTTATTTAATGTTCTGCGCAAGAAAATCGGTGAATGGTATTCTGAAGGCGCTGCGTTAGGGTGCCTCGAGCGTGTAACGGAGGCAAACAAGCACATCTAGGCACGTTAAACACGAGAGCCATCTGGCAGTTATCTTCGAAAGTGAAGGCATGCACGACCGCGGAGAAAGATGCGCGCCAGTCACGGAGGTGATAAGGTGTAGAATGGAAAGCGACGGGCAGGTGCCACCACTGTGCCGTCGTAACAAAGCCTTGGAAGCACCTTCTTGAGCATCGCGTTGCACTGTCAGCGCAGCACGTTAAAGGCTACAGTCCTTAGAGTGTTTTGTGTGTGTCCTCTTCTAGTAAAAAGGCAGACATACAAAACATAGACATGTTGTTATGGCACCTCACATATGCACAATATTTGCTTTTTTAATTGACAATCGCACAACTATGAACACTAAACCTTGAGCAATATTGGTGGCCGCTGCGGATGGGGTTAGTCGTTCGGTGCCGTTTGAGGTATCATTAGGGCGGACAAACAGACAAATGTACACAGACAGACCAAAATTTTTCTGTCGAAGGTCTTTAAAAGGTCTATCGTCTTTAAAAAGTGTTCGTTGAGGCGACAATATTTATGCATTGACTCCTATGGGCTGCTGACGGGGAAGCGTGAATTTTTCGTTGTAGCAGGAATTTCTGTAAAGCGGCGTTCGTTGTAGCAGGGTTAAACTGTAATTGCTTTTTAATTGAGAATGGCACAAGTATGAACACTGAATCTTGAGCAACATTTGTGGGCGCTGCGGATAGGGTCGGCCGTTTCAAGTACCCGGTGCCATTAAGAGTGGATAAACAGACAAATTCACAGACAGATCAAAATTTTCCCGTCGAAGGTCCCCAAGAAAGACTGTCGTCTTTAAGTGTCCCAGCTAGAACCCCAGCAAGGAAGCACACAGCAGCCGTACCTGCAGGGAGACTCGCTGTTTGTGGAGCTTACGTGACAGCCTCAAGAGGTCTGGGAACTGTCGCAGCATCTGCTCGTGAAGGCTTTGTCGCAGCTCCCAGTCGTCCACGAGCAAAGACACAAGGTCCAGACGCTCCTCTGAAAGAAAGAGTACACAACGATGTTCGCACAGAAAATACAGTAAAACCTCATCAACGTGCACCTGCTAGGAATGTGGAATGACTATGATCTAAATGATAGTACAGTGGACTGCCATTAAACGAAACTCGTTTAAACAGATAATTCGCATAAACGAAACTATCTAAGCACATTTGGTTGGTCTCCTATATATTTAATCGTAAAAAGTTTCTGGTAATCGGAACATTTTTCTAAGCTTACATCGAATAAACGAAACTAAAACGGGCAAAATCCATGAACGATGGAAGTGGCCACGGCAGTCAAGCAACCATTGAACAAATGTCAAAGCTAGCCTAGCCAAGCCAATTCAGTGATTGCACATGTCTAAGCACACCGAGAAGCAATCGACGTCTCGTTACGGGCCCTAAATAGTCTCGTCGTGAACTCGAGGAGACAGCCTTGAGGAATCTATAGCTCAAGTTCAAGATGAGGACTTGTACTCAAGTGGTAATGAGATGGTGTGTGATCTCAAGCCCATTTCAGTGGCTGACAGTGCAGCAAGAAATGCTGTCATCCCGTTTCAGCGCTACTTTGAACACGATGGCGGCACAGAGTTCCTACCCAGCCTTTTAGCAATGCACTCCTAGTATGTGAGAAAGTGTGTGAACAAGGCCAAGCAAATTGTTATGACCTCCTTTCTTCAAGTCAACAATATTAGAAACATTTTTCTTTCTAATCAGCTATAGTAGTATTGCATACTTCAAAATGTTTTTGTCCAGTCAGTCACAGTTGGTGATTTTTAAATAAAGTCATATTTCATTCATTTTGTGGGCTTTGCTTAAATGAAACTTCTCATAAATGGAACAAATTTTCTTGCCGCTCCGAGTTCTGTTTAAGAGAAGTCCACTGTATGTAGCAACCACCACTTCGAAATTTGCATCTGCTGAGGTGCGCCACCTACCAACAAATGAACAACTGTAATACCAGAGCAAATATTTTTTAAAGTGCCCAACTGGGGAAAGGTGCTAGCTCTCTTCATGGCTGTCCACTAATGCATGGTGGCGACGCCAAGGAGCATTTCGACGCTCTCACCACGAATAAACAGCAACTGCCAGAGAGAGATATCGGATAGACACACGTATCAGATTTTCCTGGTAAATTATTGCACGTCTGTACCCTAATCTGCCATTGAGCACTGCTTAAATGCAGTAGCGCCATGTGGAGTCGATCGACCCTGGCTAGATGAGTGTAGAGGGTCACTTATTTGGCCGACACTGTCACTGTCAAGCCACTCAATGTACCGCACACACACATTTCCTCATTTGGCAATTCTGTTTTAATTACAAAAGTGCTAAAAGAGGCAAGTATTTATTTCTTGGTTTTTAAGCGCTTACCAATGCGATTGAGGTCACAGAGTGGCTGTCGCAACCACTGGCTCAACATACGCTGACCGCCCACGGTGCGGCATCGATTCAGCAAACGCAGGAGGCTTGGTTCAGAGGCTGCCTTGGGACCTGCATTTGAGAAAAGCAGTTTGCTTCAGCAATGCTAGCATGTATCCTCACTAGTCGCAGGAAAATTGTCACACCAATATTTTTAATCTCTCAACAGGCCTTGCGTGCCTGCATATATTGCAGCTGCAACACTAAAGCACGAGGCATTTTCCCAGCACCTTCACCAATGATGTTACGGGGAGATACGTTTAATCGTTGGACACAGAATAAACTGGGTAGCGGACAAGACGGTGCCCAGCTTGCAGGGTCTCTCCTGTTTTTCCCTGTGCTTTTAGTTGTCCTCGTCCGCCCGTTACAATACACACCAAGCAGCCTGCCTGCCAGGCCTTTGTTACAAGGCTGGTTGCAGCCGCAAGCTCTGGGAACTGTAAAATCTTGCTTAATTTGTTGCCTTTACAGATTTCAGTGACTTGGTACCTCGTACTTAAGCACTCCGCTGCTCCTTCCATCCCACTTTTCTCCTCTGCACTTTCACCAAGTGCAAGAGCTCATGAATCTCTTAGTGCATGAGCAAAAAATTGGTCAAGCCATTTCTGCAATAACAAGTAAGATCAGCAATAACCAGACTGTCAGGCAATGAATGATAGAATTGGTCTAAGTGCCACATATAATATGACTAGGCTAGTGCAAACATTCTAATGCTTTCAATTTTCGAATGAATATAACAGTATTTGGATTCAAATAATTGAAGATTTGAAGTATTCGAAATAAATAAATGAATCTGTATTAGGGGAACAGGGTAAGCCTTATACCAGCCATGTAGTTTAGGCGAAACTTATGTACCTTTTTCTCCATAACCATAAGAGCTACAGTAATGATTTTACTATCCCTGTGATAATAAGTCATTTCTCTATTTTTGGTGAGGCAGAACTAGCACTGAAAATTGTAACACTCATTTTTTGCAAATTTTTTGCTTCAGTTACCAAATTATCACTCAATATTAGCCATTACGTTTCATGTTGCAGAAAAGTAATTTCTCACACAACAGTTATTCTGGTTCGGCAAAATCACTATTACTAGGCTTGTGCGAATAGTGAATTCTAGGTTTGAAACGAATAGTAACTAATTTTGCTCAAATAGTTTCGAATTGAATTCAAATGGTGTGTAATATATATATAGAAAATGAGAATATTTATCATGACCTAACTGACCTGCACAATATCTTTTTAAATGAAATAGGGCCTCTATAAATGTTTCATTTTTTATTTATTTTTTCATTCAATGTAAGTCGAAACAACCTTGAGTAGTAGTGGCATATGACTTCCGGTAGGATGCGAGTGATAACCTACAAAATACTTAACAATCTGAAATTTACTATACTTAGAGCATATAAGCCATGATAACAAGTTTAATAAAATGATGAATTGGAAGGTAACATGTACATTTAAAGGGGCCCTGCAACACTTTTTCAAGTAGCTATGGAGCTAGTAAAGAAGCTTGTCACCTCACAAATTTACCCCACAAAAGTTTTGGAATCCGTCCAGTACGAGCAGAGTTCAAGAAATTTTTCACACGCTGCAATTGCATTCTCTCTTCTTATGCCAACAAAAGAGCTGGAAGCTAAGCAGGGAAAGATGGCACGGCGAAAGGAAAAACGTCACGCATGCCTCGTGACCTTGAGCACTTTTTCTCTTTATTTCCCCTTCGGATACGTTTCGGTGTGATCGCGCACGTACTCGTGGACAAGAGGCAGCCTCCCCCCGACGGCCCCAGTAACGACCGAGCGCACTATGCTCAAATGAGCCAATGGCTGTGACAAGTGATTTTTGAGCTTATAGAATCGTTTGCTGAGAGAAGAGAGCAATTTTTAGCTTTCAAAATTTATTGTGGATCGCAGGACACACGCTGCGCCATAAGATTTGCCTCGCGTGTTCTCTGTAGCCTCGACTACTGATCGGCAGCATTTTTTTGTTATGCTCAATAAGTGTTGCAGGGCCCCTTTAAATTTGAAAGTTTGCGGCAGAGTGAATTTCTCTTGAATAGGTGTTTTCATGGCTTAGCACCCTTACACTGCCATGAAAATAACTTTACAGGTAGTTACATCCAGACTAATACACACCTATTCGTTCGTTGCGAATACTTCCAAATTTTCAATAATTTAAATTCGAATCGAAGCGAATTCGAACACTCAACTATTCGTTTAAATATTTGAAGCATTCAAATATTCGCACAATCCTACCTATTATGTTATCCAACTACTGACCGAAATACATGATTCTAGATATTGTGGTGGCTGAGAAAAAGGAACATGGAGTTCAGAAAAAGCTTGTTTTGAGATAATCACGTTTAATGTTGACAATCTGTATTTAAAAAGCACGAGATAACACAAAATTGACGAAGCCATTCAATAGGCACCAGCCGGATTCTCATCACCAATATCATTTTTTTTCCTTTTTTGTGTCGAAACGTCTTGTTTGGCAAGCCTCATTTGTCGCCTGCTATGCAGCTTTGTCAGCAAAGTATTGCTGATGCAGGTCAAAAGTGTTTAGGCACTGCACTGCGCAGTGCCCTGGCGACATTCGAAAAGAGTTCAGCCCATTCACACATGCTATATTGTCGTCATGAAAAGTGAGCACAGAGTCAAGAGTGCATATTTACAGTGTTTGGTGCCCAAGAAAAAAGAAAACATTTTTTTGGAATGCACTCCCACTCGACAACCCAACTCGTTATGGTTGAGTTTTTTCACGGAGGCAGTTAGAAAGCAATTCGGGATGAGCTAGTTCTAGATAATTTGGCTTAACAGCCTCAATAACAGATGCTGGAAGTTGCTCTTTATGAACAACTGGTTCACAATTTAACTATACTTTGTTGAATTCAAAACAAGTTTCGGCGTCTTTCAAGCGAAGGCCGTGGTATTGATTAGTATCCTTTGACATCATGTGAAAATATGTGGCCCACACAGATTTTCGCAAGTCCTCCAAGCTGGCTCTACTTCTTTTAATGGCCAAACAATAATAGTTTCGGTGCTTTCCAATGATAATACCACTAAGAGGTCCCCGAACAGATATAGATTCCCGTCAGAAAGCTTGATGCCTCTGCTTTCTTTCGTTTTTGTAGTTCTGGGCCGATTCTTTTCTGAATGTGCCAGATGCACTCCAGCTTGCAAACTAACCTCTTTATACGGCTATGATGCTTGAACTGCAAGAAATTCCTTGCTACGTAAGGAGAGGGGCACGGCAGGCCACTACAATAGTTTTGAAATATGTCATTTTTAGAAAAAAAAAAGCCTACTGAGACAAACAAACGATAGATTCTGGTTTAGGAAAGGCCGCAGATATTAAGTAACGCAAAAAGAAAAAGTCACAGCGTATCGACGGAGTGAGTGATGATGAGTGGGGTGAAGCTTCGGAGGGTTTCATCAGTAAACCAGGATCTGTCCGTCCGTTCGTCTGCATCTGCTGAGTGAGTAATTGAACTAGGCGGTCACATACGAGCTAGGAGGGACAGAGCCACGGCTTTAGGAGCTTCACCCCCTAAAATGATTTTTTTCAATATATTTGCTTACCTTGTCATTTGTTTCCACTTTCTTTGAAGCCAAAAAATTGCATTTGCAGAGGCCTTGTTTCAGTTTTTGAAAAGTATTGTGCAGGTTAGTTAGGTCACGACAAGTATGCCCATTTGTCTCTATAATATGTAATATGTACTATTCGAATTCAATTAAAGATTATTGACCAAAACCACTATTCACTTCAAATTCGCTTCGAACCATAAGTTCCCTACTCACAAAAGCCTAAATATAAGAAATTTCAGTGCTTTCCATGCTCCTGAGAGGAGTACCTAAACCTGTGTCACCCATCTCCACGGCAATCATGACAACAGCAACAAAGTTCTCACCTTCCCCGTCAACAGGAAGCACAGCCAGGGCTTGGATGGCTGCACTATTGAGGCGCACAAACTGGCCAAATTCAAATGTGCAAAGCCGAAGGCAACCAAGGTGCTCGGCACAGGACGTCAGCTGCACAGAATTGAGCATAGAGGAGAGCACTGTCCTGTAAACCACCCTGAAACCGCCAAGTGCACCAAATTCTTTCAAGCCACATGCATCTGAGATTCGAGCATTTGAATGTTTCCTTAATAGAGATGACAGAAAAGATGATTTCCAGGTGAAGCAGGTAAAACAGCAAAAGCAACAGCTGCCATTTTCTTTGTAGCACTTTAAACAGGCTCATCTCCACGACAGCCGAGACAAAGTACGAGCCAAACCATAAATGGCGCCATAAACACTGGCATGTTGCTACTTCATTCTACAGAAGTGAATAGTTTCACAAAATTCTGGCAAGTAGTTGTGCCCTCCAGGCCCCTTTGAAATGGCACAATGAACAACAGTGAGGACACAACTACACACAAACCTCGATTTGACAAAAGTTCATATAACACGAAAATAAGTTCAATATATCCGAAAATTCGTTATAGGGAACCAGCGCTGCAGTTTCCACGACCACCCTGGTGGTGAGAGCGCGCACTTCTCAGCTGCTACCGCAGACGAGTGGTGGCTGGTAGAGGCAATGCGCGCGCGCATCGCCGCAACAAAACCAAATGGAGCTGGCTGTACTGCTGCGTATTCATGAGCAATAATATATAAAAAGAGAGAGGACGTATAGAGAAAAGGAAAGACATAGAAAGAGGAAGCGGCGTTGCATTCAAGCAGTCAGGCGAGCGAAATTCTGCCCTCGCTCTCCTGTCTAGGGCTCTCGTGCTCGTTTTTAAACCGAATGACCCATGTCTACTATATTTATTCCACAGTGAAGACAGCCACCAGTAGAAACCAGGACCAAACAGTCATGTTTAAACGGCATTATACCGGAAATAAAATGAGTGTAGTATGCATATGGAGCATATGTAAACTTTTTTTTATCTGGCCCACTCAGCGTATAGTCGTGCACTTCAGTACTAACAAAGTTTCCAAGCGTCTATCCATCTGACTACCATCTCCAAATTCTATCTGGTGCCACTACGTAAAGTGAATGATACGATAGAAAGGTAATCTTTTTTTTTTTTTGTAAACAGCTGCGTGTAAAGCTGCCTTGTCCAAAAGACTTGTGCGGGGCCACGTTCACCTACGCCTCTGAGCTGTTATAAAAGATACTCTCGCGGTGAACACTCGATGAAAAGATGCCTCTGTTCAACTCAATTTGTGCAAAAGACGAGGCTCTTGTTACGAACAAAGCAGTAGACTACTCGAAGCTTAGCTCTCTGGAGTCAGCCGATGCCATAAGCATTTTCTCACTGGCTACCATGGCCAAGTAACATAAGAATCTATGCCTTGCTAGAGAAGTATCAAATGTCTTCAAGTTTTCACTTGTTGTTTGGTTTGCCTAACACACAGTTTCAGTTTTACCGCTTGCCTGTGTCAGCCTAAAATTAAGGTGTCAGTTCAACATTGATAGCTGCTAGGCTTTCATGTGCCAAAGAAGATTGTATCATTTTGAGGTACGCTGTAGTGTGCGTATCAAAATTGTGATCGCTAGGGGTTCTCCAATGCCCACATATATCTTGATTCGCGGGTGTTCTTATATTTCAGTCCCCATCGAAGTGCAGCCGCCGTGGTCGCTAATCTATCCTCCGCCTTCAAGAATAGCAGCGCGACACCACACGTGCTATGCTGCCACAGTGGTTTGCTTGATCATTGTCCCCGTGCACACATAACGTGGACATGGCGTACAAACGATGCCATAAAAAAATGACTGCAGCTACCACTTACTCTGCTTTATTTATGTTTTACTGGACATTTCGGCAGCGTGGTATTGTCACACCGTGGACTTATCAGTGGGAGCATGTCAGCCAGCCCTAGCATTAGCCCAAAACCAAGCACGCAACCAGAAAACGAGGATGAGGGAGCTGCCATCACGGCACAGCACTGTCCCTTCGATGCTACATGCATTGACGAAGTCCAGCTTTGCAGGGCTTCTCTCCATTTTTTTTTAGTGCTTTTTATATGAGAGTAGCCTTCGGAGAAAGTTATTTTTCAAAACCAAAGAGCAGTATTACTGGTGCTATGGCTTTTCGAGCTGTTCGTTCTTAAATGAAGCACGGCAGCGGCACACGCATGCGCTCTCAGAGTGGTACACTGCGGTCGGTCGTCTGGGCCCTGAGCAGCTGAGTTGTGTGGCGACTCTCCGCCACGTGCTCTTTTTCGGCGCGCCACTTATCCAGCGCTGGTCTCCCATAAAGGTACACTACTAACGCAATATTTATTAAAAGAGTATTCATTTACTTTGTTGTAACTGATATTTCGTTATATCATGGTTCTTTATATCGATGCTGTGAGTGCACAATGCAAAATACGCCAGACCTGCATAGACAGCGTAAGCTCGAAGAGCAGCCTTTCAGAGCCTTTTCCTAACACTATTCAAGTAACTGCCACAAGCACACTTGGTGGGTATCCACTACGCCATAAATAATCATAATTTTTGTGTAGTAGGCCAGCATTTACTATGCTATCTATCATTTTTAGGAGAAGCGTGGTATCCACTACACATTTGCCAGGAATATTGTCCAATATTTTTATGCAGTTGCGAACGAAGATGAAGAATTATGCCTAAACCGGGTATGCGTCACAGTTAATAGGCGATCAAGAACAAGCTTTTGTAATAGGGTTGAATCATTGGACGGCCCACTCTTTACGAATTGTGTGAAGCCTGGTTGTTCCTTTGATGTCCTAAAACGCTTTATTACTCATATTAGCACGATTCCTTCCCAACATCAAGCCTGCCTAAGGCCAATTTTGAAATGAGTGTTAAGGGGGGACATAGGTCTTAAAAGGCCCAAAATCGCAAAAAGTCAACTTTCTGAAGTTGACATGTTCAGCATCCGTACCTATCTTTTGCACCTATCTGAGAAGTTCCTAGCTTCTCGCGTAATCATTGCCGGCGCAAAATAAACTTATAACATCCCTGTGAGATGAATGTGAGTGCAAATTGACGCTATAATCCCGCTTTTTTCCGTGCCGTACTGTTGCCGTCACACACGAGCTATCGTGTTTATCTTGGTCTCGTTTGGAAGGGTCGTTCTTCATCTTCAATTTTCCACCATCGCTGGCTCGCCTTGCTCATTGGTTTTTCAGCAAAAAACCCATCATCCAGAAGCACTATCGCGCAATTCTATTGGCTGCTTGAGGGCACGCGACAAAACCTAGACATCCGATTGGCCAAGTGGCGTTTCCGACGTCTGCATCATGATCATGACGCGCACGGACAAGCACCATTTTCGTCATGGTGCTGCTGTCTGCCTGCGGCAGTAAAGAAGTTCCGTGCTACAGTAATTTGTGAAGCGTGTGTGGCGATCGTTCGTTTGCTGTGAACTTCAAAAAGAGCCCCGCTATGGCTCAGGACAACAAGGATAACGAACTCGCCGCGGTCAACGACGTTCGCCGAGTCGCCAGTGTAGGCCTCACTCACGTATAAGCCCTTTGATTGCCGACAACATTACTGAGAGTAGCTTTGTTTTACAGCCTCATCAGTTAGAGGACAACAATTAAAAAGCAGAAGAGAAGCTACAAGAGATATCTTTGTAGTGACAAAATGGAAGCGAAGTTTTATCGCTAAATGCGCCGAATGTCGCGGTTCCCTCTTCCCAACGAAAGGACCTTGCTGTGCAATGGTTTGTCAGAGTGAAGTACGCCGCACGTCGACGAACAACAGAAAGTCAATTCGTTCGCAGTGAACGTGCTCGCCTCCAGCGAATGGAGGCTACTGGCAACAGGTAGGCTGCTTTTAACGATGTATTTGCTACGTTGTCGCGGTCTCCGCTCGAAAATGCGGCAGTTTTTCGTGAAAAGGAAACTTAACACCTAGGCACTCGTGTAACCTCGAAATTGATGAGCGAGGGAGCAAGTTTGGTTCGCGACATTTACGGGTACCTCATGCTGAACAAGCCGGAAAACATCGCCGTGTAATTAGACGGATCGCGGATGACGCGTGCACACTCGTTGCACATCGCCTTCAGTACAGTCACCGAACTGATAAGCGGCCTTGCGGCAGACGAGCACATGGCGACAACTTTCTACAGGACTAAAAAAAAAACGACACGCTCGTGCAAACACTCTGTCCTATTACATTCCCGGTGCATATTAACTGACTAAAAGTATGTGTGCCTTGATATTTTTCACTCGGAACGGCAAAATAAAGTTTTAACAGCATTTTTCTCGAAGCACAGAATTTGACCCTTTCTTTTGCTTGTTCGGTAAATGTGGACCTAGAACAGCAAGAAGTGTTATTGTCTTTGCACAATGTAGCTAAATGTACACAAAAAACAATGCTGAGAGCGAATTTTTAATGGGCAGCTTCATTTTTTTTTTATTATAAAAATTTTTGTTTTTGGTTATGCAATGAACCTAATTGTGCTGTAATTCCAGAAGTACTCGTTCAATTTTCGATCAGCTTGCAGCGTTGCACTTCTTAGGCTTTCTTGTATCCATGTATATATATATTAGTGACTAAGTAATTCTAAGTACATGTATTTTTACGGTTAAAGATGTCTGAATTCTTTGTTTTCTTGATTTTCTCAAAATGGCAATTTTAGGCACCCAGCATGAAAATTCCTGCAATATATAGGAAACTATTACATATGGCAGAATAATTTTTTTTGCAGCATGAAGCTATATGTCTGGACCACACAACATAGAAGCAGTTCTCGATTTCTCTTGATGCAAGATTTTTTTAATTAGTCTTCTGTGTGACTACACAATGGCCACATTCAGAGCTATGAAGTTTAGTGTACTGTAAAGTGAAAAACAATGACCCAATAAAAAAAGTGTTTCCTATGTTGTGTAGCTTCTGCTTTCCAGTGTTGATCTCCTATGCTATTTGTAAATTTCGGACTGATGGTTATTTTTCTATTGTAGTAGGAACAATAGATAATGTTATCCTAAGTTAAATAACGAACTAACAAAGCTACAGAAAAAATAACTACACTTTTAGAGCCTGGAGAACAAACTGAGTAAGCATGCCAACTTCTGTCACATTTGGTTCAAAAATAAATGAGAGAGGCCTAAGACCCACGTCCCCCCCCCCCCCAACTTTATGGGCCGGCGTGGCTCAGTGGTAGAATGCAGGGCTGGCACGCAGCAGACCTGCGTTCGAGTCCCATTACGTCCTTAATGTTTTTTTATTTACTGAGTCTTTTTTCTTGTTTCTTGCGATATCGGTTACGGACACCGCGAACAACTCTGGCGCCGCACGTGACCTGTGTGCTGATCTTATAACAGCTTTCGCTGTAAAAGGACCGGAGCCAGATTACTGTTCTGTACAGTAATTATAGCCTTTGGGAAGTAACACAGTTTCCTGAAATTTCCTTTAAGCACACCACTACATGAACAGAGGGTAGAGAGAGATACACTGGTGACAAAGCAAACTTGGCCAACTTTGCAAGATGTCTGCTAAATTTTTAACAAAACCATTGACCAAGGAGGAGGTGGTGATGGTGGTAAAATGACAGAACAGGTCTCTTGTGCAACCAGTCAGCCCTAGAAACTGGGGTGGTGAAATTAGGAGTGTCTGCCTCCAATGTGAGATATATATATTACTGCGTTTGATTCCCAGTGCCACTGGGCATCATACGATTTTGCTAATGGGAAGAGGGGTACCTCGGCCTAGCACTCAGTGTGGTGGGTATGACATTTCAAAAAGGTGGCCTCTATTTTCAACTCGCCTCTTTCACAACCCCTTCATGCAGCCATTGATACTGCTACCTTATTGATCTTAGAAATATGAATTATTCCTATCCTCAATCTGTTGCACACATAAAGCACCAGGCAACAGCCATGTTTTTAATATATATTTAAAAACTTTGGGAATGTTCAGCAACATACAGAAAAAATAAAACAAATAAATTTGGGCACTCACATTGAGAAACTTTATGACTGCTGCCAAGGCATCCATGGCCACCTTCAGATCCAGTTCAGCTACATGGCAAAACAAGGCAAGTGTTAATATATTGAATGACCCAGACCATACGATCACTCTTGACACAAAACTTAAGAAACAGTGTGGCAATCATAAGCAGATTGTCTGTTTTAAAAAGTTTCAAAAAAAAATTAATGCCATAGTAAGAGCACCTTCTCAGTTTAGGAAACGACTGTGGAACAGCTGTATAGGCTACTTATGATTTGGTTGAAAGCTTGGTCATTAGTTAGCATCAAACAAACAGAGCAAGCTATTTAAAGACCAATTTCGAAATTTTGACTGACAAAGCACTTCCCTTCACACCCTGCTAATGGACTCTGGCTGCACACCCACATCCCTCAACTAGATTACATGAAACCACCCACAGCAAAACGACACAAGATTATCAAATCCATTCGTTTTGTTTCCCTTTTCACAGATGCAGCTTTAACAACATCACTTTTCACTGCAGCACCTCAAGAAAAACTGACTGCAACCAAACTGAGCCCTGTACTATATTTATTTATTATTTTTTACTTCATATTCTCCAAGAATATATATTATTTAGAATAGACTTATTGTGCTGATATAATGTACACTCCAAGAAGAACTGAATAAAATTAAGTAATTTGGGAATGCTCTTTGAAAATAATTTGCGAGGTAAAAAGCTTTTAAAGTACCATATTTTCGAGTGTATATGACATTCTTTTTCAGTATTTCACTAGCACGTCTTATATAAGCAAAAAGTCATGCAATAATTCGGGACCACTAAGTCGATATTTCATTCACGGCTTCAATAAACTGAGTGCGAGAGCATCCATGAAAACATATCTAATCTGATTATAATGATGAAGCAGCTGTGGCCTTAGATGTCCGATATTGGTTCTTCTAACACTGCGACGACCATAAATATTACGGCCTCAATAAATGCCACCATCATCCCACAAACTATTATATTGTTCTTGAACAGCCCCACCACTGGTGGTCTAGTGGCTAAGGTACTCGGCTGCTGACCCAAAGGTTGCGGGATCGAATCCCAGCTGCGGCGGCCTGATTTCCAATGGAGGCGGAAATGTTGTAGGCCCGTGTGCTCAGATTTGGGTGCATGTTAAAAGAACACCAGGTGGTCAAAATTTCTAGAGTTCTCCCCTACAGGGTCTCTCATAATCATATGGGAGCTTGGGACGTTAAACCCCACATATCAATCAATCACTTAATCTTAAACAAATTCTTAAAGCCACAAAACTGAGGCGACAAACAAATAAAAAAGGGCACCACAAGGTTTTATTGTAACGTTGTAGCGCCTGCAGCACCAGCTGAAGAATGTAAGTACCACTTGGTTATCAACATCATCATCACCATCATCATCAGTTTCTGCGTCAGGCATCTCTCCAGTCCGGCAGTAGTTGCAGCTTCCAGCTTTCGGTGGCCATTCACAGATTGGATGTGTGAGTGTGGATGTCAGACGTGCATGATCGTTGTTTGTGTGTTCCGGCGAAGCTTCTAATGTCGCAGAAACAACTGCAAATGATGTGCTTACAGTTGCTTTCAACACCACATGAAAGCGACTCAGAAGCTGAGAACGGCAACTACACCAACCCCAGAATGCCATCAACCAAGGCGTAGAAACTTTTGACAGTATACCTGAGGATGTGGCTTTGAATCCTGTGGAATACATATTAGTTTACTCTGTCTCATGACGCGATTATTCAGAAGTTACGCTTGAATATATTTTGCCAGTGCATGACTAGGCATTTCACAACGAACGTAGTGTTCCAGGGGGCGTCATTGAGTTTTATAATGTTGACAGTGTGAAAGATACGAGCATCTCATACAAATATGTGTCCCCTACATCTTTTTTTCCCTGTAAATGTCTAAAAAGAAGGAGGTGCGTCTTATACAACGTGGAAGTTATACACTGAAAAATATGATATGTCTGATGAAGGTCGACTCTGAAGGAGTTAATAAATGCAGTCCACAGCACAAACACTGCTCCACTGCCTGCATTATGAACACATTAGCAAACTCACGCAGCATGCTTGCCTGTCCCTGTGGCAGCTGAGACGGCTGCAATAAACAGCTCAAGTCTTGTGCTATTTCTTTGGAGTTGAAATCGCCTGCAAGAAAGAAATAAGGACAGTCACCAACAATGTTTCAGTGTGCTGGAGGCACTGACCAGGGGTGAGAGGTATCCCATCATATTTCACATTAATACAATGCTCTTTTTTTTTAATTTCAAATTAAGGAAATATTAATTCCAACAAAATTTACAGCTGTGTATTAGAAACTTTAAAAAAAATTTAACCCAGCTCACGCTTCTGACTCGCTCTAAAAAACACATAAAATTTTATTGAGTGTTCGGGTAATAAGCAAGCATAAAGTGGCGTTAATTACGTTGAAAAGGGTACTTTCAGGGCAGCGCCACTGCCCTGTTGTGAAACTAGCTTTTAAGCAAGTTCCGCACACGAAAATACAAACATATATAAATTTAAATGGTTCTGCCAACATTCTGCACACAAAAATTCAAGCCGAAGCAGACATAAAATATCACAACAGTCGATAGGGTATCCAAAATCATCAGATATTTCGACAAGCCATCTAGTACATTCCCTATGCCTAACCGTAGCACTTGTGCAACTACTCCAATTTAAGGGGTCATTAAGGTAGCAAACCAGCAAAGTTAATTGAAATAAATTATTATTTCATCTTTGAGATGATTTTCAAAGCTAGTTATTACTATCAAAAAATTTTATTTACAATATACACCCCCACACAACGCAAAATTCTGTACACCTATAGGCTCTTAAACGTGTCACCTGTCTTTGCCTCATTGACCAGGGCACCAGAGCGCTCCAAGAGGGCCTTCAACTCGGGGCAGCGCTTTGCGTCTGTGGCTGACAGCAGGCACTCTTGTGGATTCAGCTGGGCCAAAACAGTCTGCATGTGTTCCCACCAACAGCCTCAGAATGCCCTCTAACTCTCATTGAGAAATTCAGCTGTTCTGATCGTCTGTATTACAGTCGCCAACAGATTTTTTGGACTCCAAGAATTCGGACTTGTTGGATATTTTGGACTTCACAAATGCACCGTCAATGTTATCTTACACTATTGCATTTTTGGGACTGAATTTTTCGAAACAATTTATGTTTTAAAGTTCAATTTTTCGGAATAAATTGTCCGTTCTGAATTATGCCGCTCGATTTTTAACGTCGCCATGTTGGACTTTTTTTCGGCTAGGTCGAGTTTGGCTTGCAGTGGCTAGTTATGTGGCCTTCAAGATTGGAAGCGCGCACAATTCTCTAGTTTCGGAGGCCATGTCCGATCTTCCTTGGCCAGCAAACTTTTCTTTTTAAGTCAGCCTTATTTATTATCATCATTAGTACACCAGTAGGTTGTTTTTATTTTCTGGGCATTTGCTTTTCTAGTCATTGCGCATGTAGTAAGAGTAAGTGGTGTGACAAGTATGTTTGAGCTGTCGTGCACGACACATGCTCGCTGCTCTTCGGGATTGCTTACTAGCACTTCGTGGTTACAGTGCTCGGCAACCGACCTAGAACACACGAGTTAGACTGCGGCCGTGACGGTAGCGATTTGACGGTGGGAAAATGCTGGAAGCTCACGTACTGTGCGGTGTTAGTGCAGGTAAAAGAAGCCTAGACCGTGTTGTTAAATACCCTGACACAGGCATGCACCTTTTTTGTCACCTTTTTTGCATGCACCTTTTTGTGACCGGCATCAAGTTTTGCTTGCTTGGTTCCATGGAGCCACCAACTTTGGCGCCCGCAACAGTCGGCGGCGGCAATTGCCAACGCGCTTGCCAATGATGTTACTGCAGCCCAAATAGAACTAAATTTGCTTGTCCCCAAGAACAGCATCAAGCACAGCATAAGTGAGGATTTTTTTAAGGTTTTTTTTTTTAAATCTAAGTAAACTTCATTTTCATGGCTTGACCATTTTTTCAAACTGTTTCGAGGTCCCCTCCAGGTCAGAAAAATCGGTCAGGGACTGCATTAACAGTAAAGCACACGACTTTTGCACAGCCAAGCAAAGATCATACGTAGGTACAAACAACCGTGATGCACCACAAATGGTGTCTACAAAGCAACAAGACTGTTCGTATATTTTAGCCTTTTTTTTTGTGAACTGTGCAAAAACAATGCACTTGTCTGTTTACATTCAACGACTACAATTACAGTAATTACAATCACATCTTATACAAGATGCTTACATCTTGAAAGCAATGATATGACATTTTAATAAATGCCTCCATAAATAGTAATAATAGTATTGGTAATACAAATAATAAATACTAATAGATGTCATAATACAAAGTGAATTAAGCATTGCTTGTAATTCTTACAAAGTGAAGCATATTTAACCTTGCTCTAACAAACTAACATTGCTCTACAAGTACACATATTAAGGGGGGAAGAGGGTTTTAAATTTTTTTTTTATATTTCTTGACCAAATTCAATGAAAATTGTAACCCAGACAGAGTTTTTCAAGCTGATTTCAAAAATATAATTGCTTTTGAAATTGGTTGGCCAGTTGCAGAGATAATTAAAATTAATCCTATATTGTTTATCAGAACAATGGAAAGGCAATTATTGGCCAGAATATTAATATTGACATATGGCTAGATACTATGAAGTGTAATTAACACAAATGTAGGATTACTTTTTAATATTACAAGTATTACCAATTTTATAGCAATTTGAAGTTTAATCTCCAGATATCTCTATCAAGCGATTAAATTAGTACCAAGAATAAAATTTAGAAAGACTAGATTGAAAAATCTGTTCCTACATTTGTGTAGGAGACATATGTAGCTACATGCCACCACAAGAATTGTGGCTCTATGTGACCTCAAGACCAAGATATCGCTTTGGCAAGTTTCAAAAACATCGAAAATGACATTCTGAGAAAACGTCAAAAAACAAAATAGGCTCATATTTAATACAGAAAATCACAAACTATTTACAATGTTCACAAATGGCCTAGCATCAGTACCCTCCAGGAACATAGTCTGTCTGTTTAGAGTCATTTCGGTGTTGTTTTCGTAGCACACGCTGCAAGTTTTCTGCAGAAGCATGCTTGCGTGCGCATGCTTCAGCACGGTGGCGATCTTTTTCACTCATGCGCTTGGTCAACTGTTGGCCAGGGTTTAGCTGAAGTTCTTGAAGTATGGCTGTAGAAGCTTTTTCATACCCAGAATTGAACTTCATTACAGCCTCTGCCACAGCAGCTTGCACAGCAAACAATGATGCATGTTTCTCCTTCGGCGCCAGTGCCCAAATAATTGAGTGGAGACACTCGTTGTTATTTGGGTCTTCCCTCTTAGGCATCGCCGAAGAAGCGATTCATCAGACAAACGTCTGTAAACTGGAAGAAGCGCCTCACATACATGGGGTGGCAGATTGTGGCGGTGTTTTGGAGCAGGCTCACCTTTGGCCTTTGCTGCGTTTTGGCGGCACCATGAATCTGGGCCCTCTGGACAGAGAGTGTGGTTAGAAGTGACATCGTTTGAGGTGATGTGGTAGTATGTGGCCATGACTGCTTTATGCATGGCCTTGACATCACCTTTGTGCGATTTCAAGGCCCAGCCATAGTAGCTGCTGAGCTTGGTGATAAGCTCACCAGTCAGCTTTCCTTTCCCACCGAGACTCTCTGTACCAGAGGACTTCTGCTTGGAAACTAGATTCGCAGTGCTGTGCCCATTCTCTTGTGAATGTGGTTAACACAATCTTCCTTGTCCACGGGTATGTATCCATAGACTTTCGCATCTTGAAGAGCAAGGTAAGCGCGGCTGTCACCATCCGACAACAAGGTCGTGTACCGCAGCTTATGCTTCTGCAGCGATCTTTGGAAGAGGATCAGTGCCGCTTCCACCTCCATCTCCCCAGCTTTTTGTCCGTGTTTTTCTGGCATGCGTGTGCCTCCTTCCAAGCCTGGTAGGCAGGGTCAACTTCTTTTGGTGCCCGTGCGCACCCAGCACAGAAATTGCTGAGCACTACATAATCGAGCACAAATCCTGTGTAGAGCTCAATTACGGTGCCGACGCCGATATGAGACGAGTGGCCGCGCGTCATCCATGTGCCATCGAACGATATAGCGATGTTGTCCGGGCTGTTTATATTAGGTCACGGTACAAATCGCGCACTAATTGTGCACATGTCCCCATCAACTTTTCTGCCCCATCGGTTGCCGCGGGACGAGTTTCGTTTTCAAGTGTCCCTGCCATGTTTTATTGTGCATTCCTCTCTCCGAAATGTTCATCGCCGCAAAAATGTCGTTCATTGCGGTTTGCCCGTTTCCGGTGCTCTGCATTGCACGCTCCGCAAGGATGTTTATGACAAAAGGCCTGAGCTTTGCTTTGCCGCTCACGCGCGGCGAGCTCCATCCCTGCACATTATCGCCGCAGATCGCACATTCGGCAACAAACTTCACAGCAAGGCCAAAATCCCGCTCACCTTTTCGCACCGTGAGGTTACCACCACAAATTGTACACTTGCAACTGGTAGACGCCAGCAGCGCGTTCATCGAGTCGTAACTAGCGATGAAAAAACTTGTAGCGAGATCGTTGCTAGCTTGTGTGGCAGCGTCATCACGATCCAAAAAGTCAGATTTTCGGGCAGTAGCAGGAGTTGAAGCAAGTACATTAAGTTTTTCTTGAGCTTCACTCTCTATACGCCGCAAATCTTCTGGCTGCAACATTGCAGTGTCGTGCCGAAACGACGACGAAGACCCGCGGCGGTTGTCAAGAGCGCTTTGGGGGACTAGGCCTAACACGCCCGCATCGGCGCCGCTCGACTCGGGAAGCACGCCGTTCTCCGCATGGTCAGGAACTGGTGGTGGCACAGCAGCGCATTTCTGGAAGTTGTACGGAGTCTTCCTCTTCCTTTTTGTTCCGAATTTGTACTTCGTAGCGAACTTCGGCGACGGCGTCGACATCGTTGCTCACGTGCGAAAACCAGTTGACGCGTACGGTGTGCGCACAGTCGCCGCGGAGTGATGCAGACGATGCCTGTCAGGCCAATGGCGTGACCCGCTGCGGGTCACGTGCCGTAACTGGCCAATTACTGCGCGTGTTGGGACTTCTTTTTGAATCGGGATATCTTCACAGCCAACGCGCGCTCGGAGCCGAAAATGGCGCGAAAATCAAGACGAGAGGCTGCGCTTTCAAACGATATATGATTCGCGGCTGTCGGACAAATATGACGGCCGTCGCGTGTCACGGAAAAGGCGCTTTATTTACCAAATTCTTGGCTCATATTTAGCTGGCACTGGTGCTAAAATTGATATTACGGCTAAGATATCGTTTCAAACTGCATAAAACTTGGCGAAATGGTAGAATATTGGATGGAAATAGCAAAACTGCCATTTCCAAAAAATCAACTTTTTGACGATTTTTCGGCTTTTAAAACCCGTGTCCCCCCTTAACCTACCTTCATCTCACAAGTGAGAAAGTACGGAGTAGTTGAATAACGAGTAATATAGAGTTCCCTAAAGTTCACTATATCAGAACCACAGTCCTGAAATTCTCACGTGCCGCCACACACAGCTGCAGCGAGCAGTGGTAGAACATGGCCATCGCACTTCTCTCTCGCTACAGCATAGAGCAGTTGAGCATTGCGTAAGTGAGACTTCTGAGATAGCATCGGCGCAACCTGCGAGGCCGCACCTTGTTGCGCCCAACTCGACCCAGACAACACAATGTGCCACAATGAGAAAGAGGTGGTATGCACCGAGGAGTAAAAGACCAGCACAATTACTTCCCATTGCATCAACCACGCGAACCAGTGCACCTAGGTGTCGCCACCCAGGATCGCGCCAGTGCCATGCACCTGCAACTATGTTCAAGCGCCTCACCTCATATGCGTTACAATTAGCATAAACTTCGGTTACAGCGGTTTCATTGCGTTATTCCACACAAAACAACAAACTTCTACAAATATTTCAATGCTCGAATATTTAAACGAATAATGCAGTATTCGAATTCCCTTTGAATTGAATTTAAAATTATTAAAAATGTTGATTTATTCTAGGTGAACGAATAAATGCATATTAATACATATGTAAATCCCTCTAAGGTTTGTTTCACTGCAGTGGAGAAGTGCTAGGCTGTAAAAGCACTTATCTAAGTATGTATTAGTTTGTGTTTAACTTTTTGTAAAAGTGGTTTCACTGCAGTGAAGAAGTGCTGAGCCAAAAAAGCTCATATTAAAAAAAAAAGATCCGCACTGCGGCAAAACCCCAGTTCATGGTTAAATGAAGATATTACCCCCCCCCCCCCCATCGATTATTATTTTTAGTTTAAATCCTTGTTATACCGACTTATATGCTCAAAGTAATGCAAATTTTAAAATGGAACATATTTTACAAGCTATCCCTTGCATTTTACCAATGTCAGATCCTGCTACTATTGAAAGTTGTTCCCACATCCTTTCATACAAAAAAATGGCATTTGCACAGGCCTTGTTTCAATTAAAAAAAATATTGCACAGGTTAGTCTGGTCATAAAAAATATGCCTGTCTTTCTTTTTAATATCTTATATGTCCTATAGTATATACTATTTGAATTTGATTCCAAATTATTTGACCATAATCACTATTCACTTCCAAGCCCAAATTCACTATTCGCACAAGCATAGAAAGCAGTACAGCTGACTATGTACAGTCCAGTTCACTGTCAGAGGGAACATGCGAGCTTGTGGTCGGTGTAGACCGGCAGTCCGCGCAGCGTTAACTGGTGGCGAGCTTTCTAAATACAGTGCATGTGCATCGAATCGCAAGGGCGGCACGTGCCCAGTTTCCATCTGCTACTTCTCTGCCTGTGTGCATAAAAGCATAGCACAGCATTTCCATACTTTCGCGATGCAATTTATCTGCATGCCGCCTGCTGCTCGTCAAACTTTCAGCAAGCACAAAAATATATCGTTTTATTTATTGTTGCAGTTTTTCACAAGCCCTCACCGTTTAGTCCATCCTAATTTTTAAGTACTGCTCGCTGCAAATAGCCACTTTTGCCAGCAGATAGGGCCATTGAAATCTGATGCAGCAAACATTTTAGGCTCGCATTAACTGCCCAGAAACACAGGCATATTAAAGAAGCGGGAGGCCGAATCGGTATCAGTTGATTGACAGTGCCAGAACGAAAAGCGCGAAGGGTCATGGCTCGCTAGTGCATGCTGAGTGCATAGGCGGAAAAGTAGCAGACGACGCAGGGCACGCTTCACCTTGATGAACCAATGTGCATGCGCCGCATTTCGAAATCTCACCAGAAGTTAGCGCTCTGCAGACCGCTGGCCAAGCATTCTGATGTTCCCTCTAAATGTAGACTGTACTGTAAATATGCAAATATTTCATGTGTGTGTTCACTCAAGCGGCACAAGCCAACATAAAAGAGTCCCCCCCGACCTCCCAAGAGCCAGAAAGGGAGAAAGTGGCTTGATAAAATGAGGTCTTTCCAAGAGCTTCACATAAACATTTATACCATCTGACATCTGAGGGCAACAGCTCAATAGCACAAACACAACCAAAAGCTATGCGAAACAAGGGACACACATGTTTCGCAACTCGATTTCGCAGAAGCTTACACCCTCTACATCAGCGTCTTTGGTGGTTGACCTTCAATACAATTTTATCGGCAGCAAAAATTCAACCCCGGACTACAAGCATTAAAAATTTCAAAGGAAGCAGAGAACGTTATTTGTCTTATAAATTCTGATACTGAAATACAGATGTGTCAAAAGGCATCAGTTAGCCAAATAATTAGGGTGAGCCGGTTACGAACTTCACGTGGTTCCACTTTAATGCTGTAGGCCCATGCGCTCAGATTTGGGTGCACATTATAGGACCCTAAATGGTCGAAAGTTCCGTAGCCCTCCACTACACTGTCTCACATAATCATGTGGTGGTTTTGGGACGTTAAACCTTACATATCAATCAATCAATCATCATGATCCCACTTTTTTCGTTCTTTTTTCTTTCTTTCTTTTTCTTATTATGGAATGCACCCTGACAAAAGCCAAAATCCTTTATAGCATCAGTGCTCGAAGTAAAAGGTGAAGCAAGCACACACTCACACTCAGGTTCGAGAAATGCTCGTCGTCCACAAACTCTGCAACCGTCAGCTGCTGTAGGACGGCGTCTCCATAGGCAATTCCCAGGGTCTGTTGGGCATATCAGAGAAAGCGGACCATTGTGAGTGTGCAGCACTATTACAATATATATGTTCAGACCAATTAAACCACGCTACAATGTAAGTATCTTGCTAACTGGACGACAATAGTAATAAATCAAGATTAGACACACTAATGCAGTTTTGGAAAAGTTGGTAATTTCAAAGAATTTCTTTATATTATAACACTTGCATGTCCAGTAGCCTAGAGCAGAAGTAGCCCGCAGCAAGTAGTCACAGTTAAAAATATTGTTGCCCAGACCAAGAAAACATTGGACAATCCTCTCGAAGCAAATGCAACAATTTTCACAAAGGTACCAGAAAAAGCTACCACAGGTTGCCACATTTTTCACCACTGTCAACAAACATCAGAAAGACAGCCAAATGCTTCAATAAGTCGTAAATGAGAATGAAGAAATGGCACCAAATTTTATGAGATGAAACTTCATATAGCCTAATCTGAAAAAAAAAAAAACAACTAAAAAAAACAATAGAGGCAGAGCAGTTATTGTCAAGCATTTACTACTGGGACTTTTCGCATAAAACCTTCCAATTACGCTTCGTAAGTTATTCCTCACCGAACACTGATCGCTTTATGACACTCACATTGCACCCTACTTAGATTCAAAATTTAACAGATGGTCTTGCAGGGATGAAAGTTCATCCACTAAGTGAACACCTGCTTTTTGTTTCCAAACCTTGTAGGTTGCAGTCAAGTTGGCTTGTCAGTCAGCGCTCCACTGAAGCGAGTCTGCATGCATTACCTGGACTTCCACATGCGCAAAAGTTGAAAAGCTCATGTCTTTAAAACAATGCCCGTGGTCTAACACTTAACACTGCCATCAAAAGAAGTGTAATGTCGAAAACTTACGCCTGAGTGCCGTATAAACCGGAATATAAGTCGAGTTATTTTCAACGAAATAGTAAGCTAAAGTCGCCCTTCGTCTTATATAGCAGTGTCAAGTCGAAAGTGCGACGCTGTCTGGCAACCTATGGCTTGCATGTGCTTTTGAAGCCAGACGCGGCCATATCCGCATCCCAATTCAATTGCAGTTTTTTTTTTTTTTTCTCCGTCTGTTTTCTTTGTGTTCGTGATATGCTTCCGATCTGTTCGGAGTTTTCGCTCCGCTTGACATTGTGCTGCATATTTAGTGGCCTTTTTTTTTCGTTCACTGAATATGTCTAGCGGTGCGAGGAGGCAGTACTCCGCTGCATTTAAACTAGATGTTGTTAAGTTCACAGAAGCGAACGGGAATATGGCTGCTCAGCGTCGCTTCGGTGTATCGGGAAAAAGCATGTGCTATTGAAGGGCGCAGAAAGGGAAACTGCAGATGTGCAATCCTCGAAAAATGTCATTTCGTGGACGAAGTGCCGTTCATCCGCAGCTGGAGGATAAGCTAGTGGACTTTGTGCGGGAAGTTCGTGCGCGCTCGCTGCCAGTGACTGTTGATACCATTCGCAAGAAAGCCGTGGAACTGGCTCGAGAAGCTGGGCTCACAAGAGAAGAGTTTCGTGCACCGAACTCCTGGGTGCGTCGATTTATGCGATGCAAAGGATTTTCTCTCCGGTGGTGCACATCCATCCGTCAAAAGTTGCCAGAAGAGTTCGAGGACAAGCTCATAAACTTTCAGCGCTTCGTGAACCAGCTTCGGGAGCAGAACGACTACATGATGGGGCAGATTGGCAAGGCCGATGAGACCCCCGTGTGGTTTGACATGCCTTCGTCGACCACGATCACGCAGCGCGGCGCCAAGGATGTGAAGCTGTTGTCCACTGGCAACGAGCACTCACGCTTCACCGTCATGCTGGCATGCACGGCAGATGGTAGAAAGCTTCCACCCTTCGTCATTTTCAAACGCAAGACAATACCGAAGGAAGTATTCCCACCTGGTGTTGTTGTTCGCGTCAACAAAAAAGGATACATGGACAAGGCCATGATGCTCGAATGGATACGAGTGGTGTGGAACCGTCGGCCAGGTGCACTGCTGCGTCTTCGCAGCCTGCTGATGTTGGATGCGTTTCGTGGCCACTTAACCGACACAGTGAAACGCGCACTCGGCGACGGGAAAACGGACCTCGCCGTGATGCCAGGTGGTATGACGTCCGCCCTCCAGCCGCTCGACGTTGTGCTCAACAAGCCGTTCAAGGACCGAGTGCGGCTGGAATACCATGAGTGAATGTCCGGCGACAACCCCAAGATACCGACGGGCTGCCTACAGAGGCCCCCGCTTGCGACTGTTTGTGGCTGGGTGCTTTCCGCCTGGCGTTCCTTGCCGGATTCCATGGAGGAAAATGCTTTCAAAAAATGTTGCATCAGCAACTCGTTGGATGGTACTGAACACGGAGCACTGTGGGAGGCGGCCAGCGACAAACTCTCGTCTTCAAAAGACAGTGGTGCTTCGTCGGACGAATAGGAGCAGTTGCGATGATAGTTGAGGGGAGCTCCGACGATCGGGGTGCGGTGCGCCCAATTCGCAAATAAATGTGGTTCGGCAGTTTTGGGTTGTTTTCCTTTTTTTTTTTTTTCGGTAACCTGAACTTGGGGGGTCGACCTATATTGCCACTCGACCTATAGTCCAGTTTATACGGTAAGCTTGTTTTAAGCATAAACACTGGCATCCTTCCCCAGAGCTGTCTTGCAGAGCAAACATATTTCCTGTAATGCGTTGGCTGCCTCGTCGCACACAGTTTATTATTCTCTCAACTCTCGCCAGCACATGTCAGCCTTCCAATCAAGAGATTCCATGCTTACAACTTTACCAAACCTTCTACAAGCACACGTATCTTTGTCGCTTCCTTCATCTGTCCCAACATGTGTGTGACTTCATGCTCTCCAGGCCATGTGAAGACAGCTTGTAGCAATAACACAAGACTTCGGAACAATCGTGCAGGGCATGACATTCTGGCAGTAATTTGCATATAGGTAGCTACTAACAAAACATTATTACGATGAATGACCTGAAAAGCTATGGTGTCTTTCTTTAACTGCTTAAACACAGAATACTCTTGTTTAACAAAGTTGTTCAAATATAGGAAAGTTTTTCGCTGCTCGTACAACTTTTTTATATCCAGATTTTGGCATAACGATGGGCTCACTTGTTGGTTTGTATGCACCGAGACGGCCAACACTCCTTTGGACTGGGAAAGGCCACTACTGGTGCCTCCAAAAAGGACATCCTCCAAAGGTGCCAGGTTTCCAGGAGATGCCTGAAATTGGTTTATTTACATTCAATTGGCTGAATCTTTCAACAGACATCTTAACTTTATACATTCCTTTCATTGACCTTCAGGCTGCTCAGGAATAAGAAAATATAACATCATTAAAAATAATGGTGATCAAACCTGCGCAAGGAATGGCAGTATACTTTTTAACACACTTGGAGATTTGCATATTGCCACTACACAACAACACATAGGACCATTTAAATGATACCTTAATTATAAACATTGTACCTGGGCTTAAGTCTTATTATAGTTTAGTTACAGGGATAAGCAGCTAAATCTTCATGTGCCAAAACCTTTAAAAAAATGTTTCTACATTATTCCAAGTTGTTTGCACACAGCATTTACTACCATATATAAACAGTTTTATTTCATAATACCCCTAAAGGCCGTCAAACACAGTGTACAAAAAGGAAGAGTTTGCTCACGTGCAGCTCAATGTTTCAACAAACACATGGCACTGTTGTCTTTCCGTAATGCGTTATTTTTGGTGCAGAAGAAAAAAAATAATTAAATTGCAGGACCACAGGTGGCAAATATTTCCTTTGAAGTACATCCAGGCAGGGGAGGTCACCACTGTATTGCGGCTTTCTAGTCCCTTGCTATCGTAAGATAAAGTTAAAGCTCAACACATAGGTCATCGATGCTAATTTTAGATGAGACTAATAAATTTGCAAAAGCACCACTTAGACACCACGACAGAAAATGTCCACCAATGACATCGCATGTGCCTAATTCTACAACGTGATTAAAACTACAGGGAGAGCCGATCTTCACAGCACACCCCCCTACTGCACTTTCATGATGATTTTCTTATGAACATTTATCATCCAGTAGAGTTGGACTTGCGTCAAAATGTTCATATGACAACCCTCTCTTTGTAGTATATTCAGTAAGGAAAATAGGGGTTTCTGAATGAACAAGCCTTGTCACTGTCATACTTCAGAGATACCATCTCAACGATAAAGCCTCTACTCAGCACGAACAAATTTAAGGCCAATAATCATGCCGTCAGCTTTTCAATATACTGTAAGCTTTCTTCTGTTTTCTTTTTATTCACAGCAATGGATCACATCAGTGTAGCACATACAAAACTGTCATCAAGTTATTACCTTTGTATCAAATTGTCATGCAACAATCATGTGTTCCAATCACTAACACACACAAAGCAATTGAGTAGACATGCAAAACAAAACAAAAAACAACTATAGTCCAACATCAAGAACATAATTTTCGCAATAGTTCTATATAAAGCCAGGTTTCCAGCCGAAAGCATGTCACCTGTATGGCGAGGGTCCAGGATGCGGAGCCACGTGCAGCTGTGTTTCGATACACCTCGACCCGGTAGTGCTTGATGAGCAGCAGTTCAGATAAGAGGTTCTCATAGCTGCGTTGGCTCACACACACGGATGGCACACGTGAGTCACCTGCATCACCAATTGAGTCGTACTTGTGGACACAGCACCACTAACGATGGCTTAGCATACTGCTTGTGAAGTACACTCCAGTAGTAACAGCAAGTAGAACAAATGCTGCCCTTTGGTGATAGGATTGCTTTGTGCATAAACTGTACAGTGTTTCTGGTTATTAACTACCCTAACTTGCCCCGATTAAAGTTCCTAACTGCCTTAATTATCCCTATGGCACACAGTATCCTGATACCCCTGAAATGATCACAATGTGGTATAAATTTACACAATGTCCCATAGTATTAATCTATTCTATTCACTTGCACATCTTAAACAGGTGTGCAGAGCTATTTAGCCACTCATTTATTTCAGCGGCATAGCAATGGCATCTTCTAAGCCGTGCTCTTAACTTAAGAGGTGCAAGAAAGGTGCAGGCTTGTTGATGACGTTCCTCCCTGCTGACAGCGTCGACTCCGTCAAGCATGCAGGTGCGAAGCAGCACACGAATGTAGTTTCTGTTTGAACCCCACTCGTGCACATATGCTGCGTCTATACAATGAGGCATATATTTATATACAAACAACTGACCACACGTCTGGTTCAAAACCTCTCAAACTTTTGCACCGTGAGTGCAGTAAGCTGACAAAACACCGAATTCTGCACTGTGTTAGCACCTCACTAGCATAGTAAATTCTTGTATTGTGCTGTGCATGCACAACTTGAGCTGCACAGCTTTGGAAGTTTTCGTGCACCCTTATGAACCAGTGGTCCAAGCAAATCGAACAGGTCTAATGGGCACTGCTGCAGCAAGGCGCTCGTGCTATGCAGAGTCCTTAAGGTATGCTAAAAGCTCTAGCATGTCCTAGTTCTGTTTCTTTGACCAGAAGAGCAATCAAGCGCACATACACCAGCACTGCTTGAAGTAGCATTTATGCAATCTACGAGCATTGCGCGAATATCACCACAGTGGTAGCTTGGCGGTACCGACGCCGCAGACACATAAAAGTCGACGTCACGAATGTCCAGCTATTCAGACTCAAGCCAACTGCAATCGGTAGACAGGGCTCTAAGAGTCATGCGTCCCTAAGACTGTTGCAAAGAGAACAGTTTGCTTGAGAAAATTGGCACTTTCATATTGTATTTGATCTCACAAAACAAATGGAGAGGCTGCATAATCGAGCTTGCCCAGCAACCTACCCGAGCCGAGGTACTTGAGTGCTGACATGCTGCGGTACATTTCCCGGCAGACATACTCTGCGTCTGGACCATGTACTGTGTAGTAGTCCTGTAATGCAAATATTCGAAACTACACTCTAATAAAGCAAAAACAAAACACTGTACTAATGCACATATAAAGGGGTAACAATACGTTGTCACCCTGATGTTTGGGTACCACAAAACGTAAGACGATGTTTAGGCTGTGGCATGAACTTGTCAAGTTAGATAAATCCTCATGTATTACAAAAATTATCCTGTGATGCATAATATGTAACAAACAAAAGCAACATGTGAAAGTGGTGCGCAGGTGACCACTATTCTTTTTTAATGTAGTACTGATGGCAAATTTAGGAAACTTAAAATAAATTGAGGAATACTTACATTCACGCTTAAAATCAAAGCAAAAAGAATGTTCACATGTTAGCAACTTGCCAGTTAATTGAAGCCAGGTAGTGTCTAACAAGAAAGTTCTATAAAATACACAGAACAAAACCTTGACAGAAAAGATTGATGGGTACACTAAAGCGAACCTAAAGTTCTTCAAATTTTTTTTTTTGCATAAATTTGTATGGTCACACCAAATACAGTCAAATATGCATATATTGAATCTAAATATAATACATCATTGCATATGTTGAACAGCCATAAAATTCTATTGAAGATTTTCTATATGCAAAATATTTTATACACTGAATTACCTCATAATATACAGTATAGACCGCTTAGAACGTAAGTCGCGAGAGTAGTGAATATCTGCACTATCAGAGGATATGGGGTGCATGGAGCTTACGGTGTGTGGAGCTTACGACCCTTTATATTTCCGAATGTTAAAAAAATATAACGTCCATAGACACGCTTTGGCAATGAAATTAACACGAAAAAAAAAAACAAAAAAAACAGGGGGACAAGATGGGTCCTAACAAGAGAAAGAACCATCGCGAAAATTCGCAGACTGCTCTTCAGAACGCCTCGATTATTTGCATTACCCAGAATGTTGAATCACATCCGCCATTTCACGCTCTGCAGGACGCCAATCGTTACAATACATAGGCACGCACCTGATTTCAAGTCGTCGCAAGTGAATCGCAAACCACCATTCGAGCACTACACCTGTCACCCTTGTTTTGAATAACGATATGTATCCCTTCCTGTCAAGTGCAGCCCTGCAAAACGTTTTGTTGATTCCGTACCAAACTAAAACCTAGATTGCACGTGACAGCTACCGAAACGCAAACAACGCCGATTAGGACTAGCCTGCCGTCCCGTATTTTGTCGCGGGAAGTTTGTCCAAGACCTGAAGATCCGGCGTCGAAAAGACCACACTCAAGCACTGAACCAAGAACAGCATGTGTGATACCAAATTCGCGTTCGCAGCCGGGAGATCAACAGCGACGAAAACCCGCCAAATATACGCGAGACAGAGCACAGAAAACAAAGGCGAAAGTTTGTATCATAAAACTGCAAAAATATTTTAAATTTACGGACGAGGTTGTGAACGCGATATCTGTAGCAAGCAGGATAACGACTACAGCTTTTTCTTAACGGGAAACTGTTAAGCGCAGTTGATAAGGGTGGGATGGCACATACCACTGTTGAGTCGCCGCGTGCTGGTGCTATGCTAGTGACGCTATTACAATGTGTAGCCGCGTCAGTGCCAGGCACAAAGGCTTATCCGTCGCTGAGGCAACCGCTCTTCTCCCTTACTCGGCGAGTCCGCGCAGCATGCCGCAGTCTTTTTTTCATTTTCTTTTCTCTCCCTCCTCCCTTCATTCCTTCTACTCCTGTAGCGGCATTATAATGGGCTCTCTCATCTTAATGGACTGCACAATAAATGGTATGTGTATACATGGGGTTCTATGGGAGGATGAACGGGAGTTGAAAAAGGACCGCATTGTAACCGGTTCTGCATTATAAGCGGTTACGTTATAAGTGGTCTACACGGTATAAAACGTTTTTGTGATCCCCTTCAGATTCGATATAACCGTGTTTCAATGTAGATGATTTAACAATGGCAAATGGCATTTATACTTAGAACACAACTTTGTTATATGAATCTTCAACTGTAATACTATCTTTGAAATTACCCAGAAAATGCTACTGCCCGGAAACAATTCTGAAAGGGGCCCACAACACGTTTTGAGCCTGGTCAGAAAAAGCTGCCGATAGGTAGTCCAGGCTCCCAAGAACAAGCAAGCAAAATATTATAACAGGGCATGCAGCCTGGTAACCACAATTAATTCTTGAAGTCAGCTAAAGATCGCTTTGTCTTCTCTAGACAAATGATACTTTGAAATAAAAAATTCATTGCACCATAGGCCCTAGTATCACGCCATTGGCTGGTTTGAGCATATGCGCTCGGAAGTTACTGGAGCCACTGTGGCAGGCCGCGACTGACATGTTCACGCATGTACGCAAGATTGCACTCGAAAGACGCTCGTTCGAAGAAAAAAAAGACAAAGTGTTCAAGGTCACGAGGCAAGTATGACGTATTTTTTTCCCCTTGTGCTGTCCCTCCCTGGTTAACTACCATCGTGTTTGTTGTACGGAGAGAAGAGAGAATGCAAATGCAGTGTCTGACAAATCGTTGTAGCTCCAATTGCACTGAACAGATTCTAAGCATTTTTACAGCGGTGAATTCATGAGGCGATAAGCTTCTTTAGTGAATCCATTCTATAGCTACTTGGAAAAGTGTTGTAGGGCCCTTTAAGGGTATCCAACAGTTTGCAAGGAGGGCTATCAACATCGTAATCGCTTCTCAGCATTACTAGAGCAGGCACTTGTATTTTTTTTTTAGCGACTTCTCAGATTGAAAAATTCCGTTAACAAAACATCCACACACCTTTACATCCACTACCGCAGGTAAAACCACCATCAAGAGGGACCTTTTCGTTTGCAAAATCGGTTGTCGGTTCCCATAAACCAACATGTAATTCACATTTATAGCCTAGTGTGATTCTACACTTTAACCATGCAATATACATGCATTACAGGGACTTTGAACTACACGACAGTTGTACAGTCTTTTTGTTTTTTTGAGACAGTTTCAAGCAGTGGCATCGCTCTGTGCTAAAATAAATGCTTGCCAAGTACAAGTCCTGGGTTCCGTTTCCAATCCACCCAAAGACTTTCTATTACTTATTTATTCACATCGCTTTGAAATTTTATATCTCGAACAATGCAGATTTTCCCTCACAACCACAGACGCAGACACTGGCACTAGAATTTCTGTGCAACAAGCTGATCTGTGCTGTCATGTTAAAAATGGTATTCACATCCGAGATGAGATGCCATAATATAAACTGTTTTTTCATTAACATTTTAGAGAGGATTAGAGCCCACACTGATGGAGACTAGTTAAAGAAGAAATGTGGCGTCAACATTACTGTATTCGTAGTGTTTAGCAAGATCTTTCCTGCGGATAAAAATACTCACACTTCTGTCAAAAAAGCGGAATGTCGTGGCAGGTTTCTGCAAAAGAGAAGCACGAGAATAGACGACACTGATGGTGCCACAAAATCACAGCCATTTAATACAGAAAGACAAATCACCACACAATGTAACCAAGCTTTAACCGTCAAGCATACACCGATTTTGCAGTAGTAGTTTCAACTCCAAGTGCATGAGCACTATCCTTTGATAATATTTGATGGCACCTCTGATGCTTACTAAACCAGACTTTCCTGAATGCCTAGCTGCAAAACAAATGAATAAACACACTTTGCTACAAGGCTACCGGCATCATACCATCAACTAAAATGATGCTGTTACTAATCTATCAACTATGTCTTAAGGCAACTTTAAAAAAACAAAATTCAGAGTAACAATGCCAGTATGCATCAGTTACTTATAAAGCCATTCTGTCTTAGTGTGTCTCAACCGACTTCGGACAACCGACTTTCTCTTTCAGACTATCAGTTCTTGTGGTCTGCTAGTGAAATTTTCCAGTCAATGCAGCGAACAAAATTTTTCATTATAGAATTCACAGGAGTACATTTTGCATATGCTAATGGCCAATTTTCACTTTTCATTACACTAGGATTGTGATACACTTGATTGGTACCTTCATATCTTCTCTTTCCACGAAATCCTTTTGCAGACCATGTCTGGTAAATTACATAGAACTGATAAAGATAACTTTGAGCCAAAATGTGGCCTCCGATATTCAGCAGTATGACCAACTGATCCCAAATGCCATGGGATGTACACAGTTATGCCATGCTGGACAAAGAGTGGATATCTAAATTTAAAGAGCACATCGAACTTGAATAATTGAAACCGTGTGTAAATCGAATAAAATACCATGTTTACACGATTGCAAGTCAACTTGCATGTCGGTCAAAGCCCTTAATAGCACAACCAAGAAAAAGAATAATGAAAAGAAATGTGCAAGGGCACGGCAGGAAGGAAGCTTATTGATGATGTGATGGTAGAATAACTGAAATTCCGGTATGCAACGCAAGCGAAACAGCAGTGCTCAAAGCTACACAAAAAACTAGCCCTGCGGCACTACGCCAGGATCACTTTCAGGAAATGTCACGCGAATCACTTTTCTGAGGGAGCGAGTCATATATAAGAAAATGTGGCATATGTTAAAGGCAGAGCCGGAACTTGAACATTATGTCATTACCGCGCCACAGCACGTCTACTTTCTCATTTTCTAATGGCTTGGCTTTAAGCCATCTTTTCAACCAAAGCTAGCTCAAGTTTTGACTGTAGGTCAACCTCCAATTTTTGAATTCAATTTGGTAAAGTTCAAGTACAGTGGATTGACCTACATTCATGTAAATTTGGTATTCCCTAAATATTTTTGGAGATGAAAATACACATGACTTTTGCAAAAGAACATCTGTACAACAAATAATACATAAGATATATATGCATTGTAAAGCACTGTTGTTTTACAGTACCACATAAGCAGTCATTTAATGTTTTCATGAAGGATGGGTAGCTGCTTGACATGTTTGGGGAGCAGCGACACTATTGTGCACATCCCCATTTCTCCAGACAATGAAAACAGCATTTCCCTACACAGACTAATGATTATGTGCAAGTCTTGTCATGATAGTTTAATCCTCTCAGCACACTTTATCAATGGGGAGGAGCAATTATTTTAAACACACAGGGATTTTGAATATGCACCCAACGCGCAGGTACACCAGTGTTTACACAGCCTGCCCTCATCATGATGCAGCCACTGTGGCCAGGATTGAATCTGTTGCCTATGTATCAGCAGTGCGATGCCACAGCCAGCTTCGATGGAGAGTGAAATGAAACTCACATATGCTTGACAAAAACAAAAATTCACTGGGGTAGCTCGAATCTGTAAGATGTTAGCTGCCAAGCTCGATGACATATGTTAGATTTACGATCACGTACAATGGATTCAAAAACACAGTCTGTGCAAGTGGACAAAGTCAAGTTGGAGTCCTCCACTAGATAAAGCTTGAAATCTTGTCACAATTTTGCAACTGAAAAGCTCTTCGTTATTTTCAATTTCACGGGCTACAAAAGATTAGGTTTTTATAGGTAAGCCCTCTCACGCAAAGTTAATGCATCTTTTGCAGTGGACATTTATGGAATACAATGCCTTATCAAATTAGACACAAACACACGTTTACATAGTGAAGAAACAGCGCATACGACACAAGGTAACACATACACCACAACTACTGAACAATGCTCACGGTGACTTTCTAACACTTTGTCTACGTACACACTTCTTCAATTCGTAAGCATGCAACACGAAGTGGGCCAGCATAGTTTTCTTTCAGTACGAGCATCTTTCTCACAGGCTTTAAGCGTCACTCATTTAGTTGTGTATGTTGACAGCAAATAATCATGAGCAATGTGAATAAAGGAAGGCAGTACCTCTGGCAAGGACTTCAGGTACTTGAGAAAGCCGGGGTCTTTTTCTACCTCTGTGCAATGGAAAAAAGAAAAGGCGCAGAAAAGGTCACACAACGAAAACACTGCACACACACAAAAAAACAAATTCTCAAAATATTGCACGTCAAGTTTCCTACTTTGTTTCCGTAGCAACAATTTACTCCCAAAATGAAAGGCAGCATTCAGAATTTTAAAACAGAACACTGAGCTGCGAGTCCCGCAGCTAGCTGTAGCATCACCTAAGGTTAAACCAATGGTTGAGACAGTGGATACTGAAGTGCGTGCCTTACGTAGCACTGCATGACGGTCTAAGTGAAGCACACATCGTAGACTCATAATTACTGGAAGGGCTCATTAACTCAGATTTTACAGGGCCGGAAAAATGTCTAAATCAACCAAGTAATTGAAGATATCACGAAACAAGTAAACGAATGCCTGTTGCACCAATACAGTTTCATGTTCTTGATGAATCAGTAAATCCTGTGCTTACTTTGCATAATTCATTTTAAATGCTGCAACTTTCGCCGCTCGCAACTAGCCTCACAGAGTGACCATGGCTCCAGACCACCTTGTTTAACTAATCCAAAGCAAGCTAAAGCGAAATTATCCAGCAATATGAATGCCGTATTACAGAATGGTTTGTGGATTGCGCCACCTCATTTCTGTTGTTCGCAAATGCCATTTCCATGTTTTTGCATTGCACATTTCTGGTGCTTCAAGCTGGGCGAACACTGAGAATACTCCGAATCGACCAGCTTCTGGCCAAATATGGCAGAATAAACGAGTTTGATGCCAATAAACAATACATATGCTTACCGGCAATGGAGAATATGCCCGACAACCTAATTTTACAGTAGTAATAATTGTTTGTTGCTTATTAAAAGTACTGTGAGAAAGTAGATGAACCTAGTTCACTTTTCCGCAATGATGTTAGCATTATCAATTTAAAATGTGCAGAGCATGAAAAATCCTGCACACTGAGCACATGATTCGATATTTGCAATCAGCGAACATAATTGTGTGTGCAACCATCATAGTTTCTCACACACAATTTTGATAGATTTAGCAATAAAAATGCTCAAGAGACAGGAAGTGCAGAGCAGAAAAAAGATACAATTTTGATGACATTGTTTATGATTATCCAAACCTTAAGAATTGACTTCCTCACAATTAGCCTCTCACACACAGACAAGATGGAGGATGATGCTATGAGGCGGTGCTTTCTGCTTTCATCTATCCTGGATTTTAGAGGGACACTAAAGACAAGAAAGCTTTTTCTCATATTAGTACATTCCCCTTTCCCAATTTCTAAATTCCTATGCATGTCATGAGAAGAAGGTCTGGTAGGCGAGAAAATGCCCCATAAGAAAATGCAAGAGGCTATGATGACACCTTGAAATTCCTGCATCAAAGCCATGACTTCATAGATTTTGATGGCATCTACTAGGTCTCAAGTCGTTCCTAATCAGCAAAGGTGAAATAAATCGTCTTGGGGGAGAGGGGGGCATATACTTATCCACCAAGTGTATGAAAATTTAGTTAAGCTTATGCATCCAAAATAAAAAAAAAAACATGCACTTCTAATCTCGTACATCACACGCAAATATTTTGACACGAAGTTTAAAGATGAAAACTTTGGACCTTAAATTTAGTCTCTGTTATTAAATGTATGATGCTGAAATTATTGACATTACGGCCCTCCAAGAATAATTTATCATTCTAAACCGATTCATTGTCTCCCTTTAGTGTCCCTTTACCCAAGAAGACTGTGATCAGCTCGTGCGTGACACTGCAACACGATCGCAGCCGTCTGCGGTCAGGCACTGCTCGACAATTTTTTTTTTTAAGGTAGATTGACAGATACGTTCTCTCACGACACCGTGTGCCATCTATAAAACGTGATGTGCCATCTATGAGTTGGCAAGTTTCTGTTACCACAGGCATTTAATTTCACAGTATAATGAACAGAAAGTGGCAAGAGGTTCCGGACTGCAAAATGTTAAACGTTTCACGATGGGAAATGACGCAAAGTGCAGCTTCATCCTTTTCATCAAAGGACTTACCAAGGAGATGAGAGCAGTGCAAAAGCATGGATAGTAAACAACAAGTGGAAATGCAAAGGCACATTAGGTTCAGCATTTTATTGCAACCTAAACACTGCGAGTGAGGCCGGTTTCTTTAGCAAACTGAACCATTTACTTAGCGAGGTACTACCCTACTTTTATTAGGCTATACGTAACCATTTTTAATTACCGTTTTTGTCCCTTACAGTTCTAAGTTTGTATGCGAGTAACAAGGTTATTGGTAGGTAAAAAATCAGCACTGACTGTCACCCCTTGACTCACTAATTTGCATACAACTTTGTTGTTTTCATTTTACCACAGTGACAGCGATCAAAGCACTCTTGTTTTTGTAATCTCGGTGCTCAACAATGCATTTTGCAGCAAACCTTTGGTGTCTCTACTTAGTTTTCATATTGCTTTTAAAATGTAATCACTTTTCTCTTAAAAGGGGAAGAAAATATTGAGCATCCAATCTCTCCTGGCCCAATAAACAATGCAGCTAAAGAAACATTTTAATATCAATCGTCCATCTCTGTGGGGTGAGTTGAGTTGTCAAAGTAATCACTTCGATTCAAGATGGCAATCGAACTATCGGCGCAGAGCGAACCGCTTTAGGAGACACTAAAGTGTATCCGTTTTTGTGGCAGCTTTTTGTGTGTGTTTCTCTGTGTGCATAGTGTTGCATCAAGCAGGGCAGGACCCAAACAACTGATGTCTAAGCATGCGCAGAATTTCCCCCGGATAAATTTTCTTGCACTATCTATGTTCATTAACTTATCGTTGCCGGGAAAATATTTTGCTCGCTTTTCAATGTCTTCCCGAATACGCCTCGCGCAATGCGGAGGCACAGACTTAATCTGCAACACATTACAAGAAACAAGCAGAACATGCTGACGCCCGCGCGCGCGGCGATTGCCTCCGCTCACCGCGCGCTTTCGCTCGTGCGGATTTAGCGCGCGAACGTCATCTTACCCGCGATGTCAACGTTTGGCAACAGCTCGGCCATAGCGACGACGCTTCCTTGGTTGTTTTGCAAGGTGCTAAGAACAACAACAATGGTTCAAGCACGTTACTACGCGCAGCCAAGGCTTCCTTGACAGCGCTTAACGCATGCGTTGTGACAACAAACAAAAAGACCACGCATTTGTCAAAACACGTGCGCGCGTCATAGTTGCCGACACAACCAACCTAGGTACCAGACCTAGACGTGAGAACACGTTCGCACGTAACGCTTGTCGCTGTCACAGATGCAAAAACAAACCCAAAGTACTAAAGCAACTTTTTAAATGTTTATAACCTCAATAGTTTACGCTTATTTTATAAATCAGTGATGCTATAAATTAGCGAGGCAAGTGGCACTATAGTTTCGGTTCCTATAAACTCTATGCCGGTTCCGACCCGAAGGAAACATGGCGGCGTCCATGTGCTGTTCGCGAATTGCTTCAAGCCAGAGGTATCCGAGCTGTGTAATGTTCTGAAGTATCTATTTTGCGGTATTCGGTGCTGCAGTGTATAGGTGTTCTGTGGTGCTGCTACATTGTTTGTGCAAAGCGGCAAAATTGGCCTGTTCCCTCTTGATGCTTCTGTAGCGACGGGATACGCTGCGTTTTTTTGTTTGACCGCAGAGCCATGTTAGGCAGCGTGCGGTACGCGCTGCGTCCTCGCACAAAACCTTGCCGTTGGGGCTCGCATTTGGCCAGGTCTTTCTGTTCATCAAGTGGCAAGAGCACCGATGATCTGGCAGGCAAGAGCGAGCAGCCGGCCAAGGATGAGCCATCAGGCGACCAAAAGAAAGCTGCGCTGGACAAGCTTTCGGCTCTGCTATCCGACATGAAGGTCAGAGCGCGCGCACTGCACGAACTCTGTTGAGAAACTTGCATTGAGAGACTCTTGAGTAACTTGTATTGAGAACTGTACTCTCCAGAAAGCGTGTGCACTAGTCCGTTGCTTTAAGTTCGGTAAATTCCGTCGACACTCTTCGAAACTTGTGGCAGTACTGGTGCACATCGTATGAACGAAACTAAGAATCGTGGCCGGGTTATCAATGCAGCTTTAGCTCTAATAGCGCGCCTACTCATCTCTGCATTTTAGTTCAACCATTCGTTTAGATATGCGTTTCGACTGCAGCCGATACGCTGAGTATCTATGAAACTCAGTGCAGTCACACGGCCATCTACTTTCGTTCACAATCTGTCCCGATCGCTATGCAACGTTGTACACATGATTGGCTCATTCGCTCAGGCGATGGAAGGAAGCCAATCACGTTCAAGAAATTCTATCCCGATCGGAGTAGACCGCGTTCGAAAGCGGCACCAATACAACCCGCTCACTGCAGCAATATCAGTGAGTCGTGCATGTTAAACAGTTTTGTGGATTGGTTGCAAAACGCATGAATTTACAGAGTAAATGCGTGCGGAGTTCTCGAGAAAAGAGTGACCTACTCGACTGGAAAATTTGGCATTAGTATTCAAACCAGGCACCATTCCTATTGAGGGATGGTCACTCTGCCGTCCGACCTATCCTGTAAAATAGCTGATTGCAGCTTCTCCCTTTTATTACAATTATGTAGGAACATGTTTCAGCAAGATATGAAGCATTGTCATCATAATGATTAAGCAGTTTATCCGCATTGCAGATTGAGTCCATTGCAAGCACTGATCCCAACAGCTTATCTTTCAAACTGGCCAAACCTGGGCTACCGAAGAAGCCAGAGCTGAAGGAAGAGGCGCAAAGGTGGCACTGTTTTTCCTCTTATTTTTATGCAGCAGCTTGCTTAAATATGGCCATTGTAACTGTTATTGCATCATGGGAGTAGTAGTGTTTGTACTTCACTGAAATCTTTGTTGACAACCAAGGCTTTACCATCTATGGCACACTCATTTTGTTTTTGATTTTACTTGGTGCACATGAACTGCAGGCGGTGTTCTCTATGATCACGTCGATCACGACTGGAGCACAAGCCGCGGCAAACAGTATTTTCATTTTCACTGTGTGCCTTCGGAACTGCATGGTCACCATCCATGATTGTGCTTATGTGAGCCAGGTTTATTCAGCAGCAGATGTGATGGTCAACACTTTCGTTTCGACTCTGGACGTGTGTTTTCACAACTGTGTAGATGCCATGATCATCTCTTTATTGACCATGACTTTGTCCACATGGGGGGTGGGGGTGGGGGGTGGTTATAAGAGGGAAAAGAAGAGAAAAGTGGGCCCCGTAACTGTCTGCATCAGGGTGCGACACCTCAACAGTAGCTCACAAGGGATGGGGGTGAGGAGGGATTAGCAAGATAGGATTAAAGGTATAGAGAGAGAGATGCGCTAGGACAGTGAGCGAGAACATATGAGGGATAGGAGAGATAGGAAAGATGGAAAGACGCTCACAGGAGTGCGAGGACGGGGCGCACTTGCGAGAGCTCTTGTCGGCGTCAGGAGATGGCGTAGGGTAAGTCCAGTAAGTCAGAGCTACGCTGTCGTCGGAGATCGGCTTCAGGAGATGACGTAGGGCCAGCCCAGTCGGCCAGAGCTACGCTGACGTCGGAGACCGCGAGGGCACGGAATAGAGCGAGCGAGCTCCGACTTTGTCCACAGCATATGCAGCAGTCAGCAGCTTTGTTTTGAATTCAGGCAGGGTGTCTACCAGGGCCAAAACTATAGCCTGTCACAACCTAAGAATAAATGTAAGCTCCGTTCACAGCAGTCATCATCACACCCAGGCATAATTTTCATAAATATCCCACCAATTGCAATTGCTTATTTACAATTGCTTATCCCACCAATTGCAATTGCTTATCAAGTTCTTTCATGTATTTCGGGCATATGACTTGGCCGTACAGGCATGTGTTCATTTCGATAGTTTTTGAGAGAAAAATTGCAGTTTGTGGCAAATTTCATCAAAGATTTTGACTTCACTGTTCAGCCAATCGTAATGTTTTAACAATAAACGACAATCTTTTAATTTATAATATTCATAGTATTTGTATAATTAATAAAAAAGTGCTTATGGTTTGAATAGAAATCGCTAGTCATTGCTCTGTTGCCCAGGTGAATGACAGGCACGCTGTGGTACTGGGGACAGAGCACTGATTTATTCTTAGGTTGCCACGGACTATAGGGTGCTCTGCCCATTTTCCCCCCACCCCCACCCGAAAATAATATTTTCCGTGCTCTAACTTTTCGGGTGATACTGAAATATTTACGTGCCTTTGCAGCAACCACCAGTTGCCAAACTTAGCTGTTCTACACTTTAGAAGTGCTACACGAAGTTTACTGTTCTACAGGCAGCTTAAGTGAAATGGGCTGCTGGTTACACAGGACCAAGGGCCTTGGCAAGGCAGTCGTGCAGGCTGCCAGAGAGGTGGCAGCCAGCCTGGGCAGCAGCAAGGAGCAGAAGGAGCAGACAGAGTCAGAACTGCTGGCACGGCTCCGTGTGCACGCGCAGGAGAGGCAGGGAAACCAGCACGTCGCTCCGGAGAAGGACAACACGGCCACGCTCAGGTGGGTGTGGCTTTTCTCGTGAGACCAAATGTGAACTGCAGTTGTAGCTGAGTGGCAGATTAGTTGCTAAAGGGACTCAGAAAAATGAGGTACAATTTCACAGTTCCAAAATCACTGTGCTTGCAGCAACGAAACACTCCGTAAGCGAGAAAATGCGCAAAAAGAAAATGAGGGTTCTTCAAATTTCAGCATCGAATGCTGGGACAGTATAGATTTTGATAGCATCCACTAGGTTGTCCTATGTAGTTCCTTATTGCTATGAATAAAGTACACCGCTCTCTAAAATTCCAAAGTTTCAATCAATTTCGTTGAGCCAGTGTAGCAAAAATATGAAAAATATACTTTGAAATCTGCTATGCCATGCGCAGAGATTTTGATGTAAAAGGTAAAGTTTTGACCTTGATTTACTTACTGTAATAATAAATGTATGGTGAAATTAACAGCATTAGACTTTTCAGAGCATTATTTATCCATCAAAATTGATTCATCGTTTCACTTTGGTGTCCCTCTAACGTGTCATTTGTTGGATGCAACCAGGAGTTTCCAAGAAAAGAGGAATCGTGAACGCAATAGCAGAGCGCCAGCATTCCTTCTTTCCTGTAACTTTTCTTCTCTGCCTTGAAAGCATTGGAAATACTGAGCAAACACGTGAATAGTCATATCTGTATGCTGTCTCCTCATACTATCGCGAGTTGACATTGAGACACAGAAATGTGCATGATATGTAGCAAACAAGCAATAGGTTCACAAGAGGAAAGTTACTTGCATAAATGAAACTAATGTTGTCAGAAGTACTTGTTCTATTGAAGCAGCAGTTCTGTTTGGTTTACATTTACTGAGAGTCTACTGTATTCAACATCCACTAATATCCAAGTACACAGACATTTTTTCTTTTTATATCACCATGAAAAAGCAGTTCTTGTGGCTAAGATTCTATTTTATCACCTTGAAAATGCAGTTCTTGTCGCTAAGAATGAAATTGGCACTCTATGTCCCCTCTAGCCACGGCATCTTGTTCAACCACTTGCATGTTAAATGCATTGTTCAAGGTGAACCCTTTAAGAGGTAGTAGCTTTCAATACTCTCGTGACTGAAGTCACTCATTGCTTTTGACTGGCGCAATGAGTTGCATGTGTGGTGATGGGACAGTTGCAAATTAACGCTTTCCTAGCCGGTGTCATACTGATGCCTTCTCTGTACACTGTTGCGTGCAGCGACCTGTTTGTCGGCATGAAGATCGAGCGCAAGAAAGCCAAGCAACAGGGAAGGCAGGAGGGTGGTGGGCGGGGAGATCGCAGCCGCAGAGACCGCGAGCTTGGCACAGTGCAGAGCGAGTTCCTACCGGGCACCATCGATGCACTGACGGAGCAAGTCAACAGGGACACAAAGGCTGCCGCCCGACGACAGGCTGCTAACAAGCAAGAACGGTGAGGTGCAGCTCCCCAATAACTCGTGCTAGTAAACGAATTTGGAGAAAATCTTTAAACAATGTATTGCTATGCAACTGCATGAACAGTATTGTTCGGTAAGGGCTGTATATTTTTAAGCATTAATGATAAGGTGCAGCTCTTAAAACAGTTAATATGGTCTGATTATTTATTCTGTATGTGTCTGAAATCAGTCATAATACCACATTGTTTTCAACCATGACGAAACCAAAGTGCTATTATTTTTATTATGAATTACTTCGTTAATCCATGCTCATCACGCGGTTGGTAGCTCATCTTCGCTATTGCTTTCACGGCTGCCTACTCCCGGCTCCCAAGTAATCATATTCAGTTTCATTCATAAGGTTATAGATTCCAGCCATGTTAAAGATCATCACAGTTACTTATAGTTTGGTGATTGGAATTACGGGACTACTTTTGATACACCATCATTTTTTTTAGACTGTTATTCGCAGTTGGCATAGAAGCATATATTATTACAAATTCTGTGCTGCCACATTAAGAACACAGCCTTCAGACAGGTATTGTTCTTTACGAGTCCATGTGGCATGATCTGTTTAACAAGCTTGCACAATGTAACAGAGATGGGGGAAACGAAAATCCGACACTGCATCACAATTAGGACTTCATCACTACATTCCAAGATTACTTTTAAGTCATTTCTATTTTTGTGCGACATCACAATTTTTTTTTTTTTGCAATATGTGCGTATGTTGTCTGCACCGAGTAAACTTCAGTCAAGAGTCAAATTTATTGCCTGTCCCTCATGTCATGCTTTGCATTGTTTTCTGGATTAATTGTACCCACTTAAAAAATTACTTATTGGTGCTAAGAGTGAAATTTTCTCCCTACATTGTTGAACCTTGTCACAATTTTTTAGTTGATTAGCATGGTTAAAACAAATGTGCCAAAGCATCATCTCCTCATGATAGCTGCAGCTTTTTTTCTCTTTCATTGCTGCACAGCATTGAGGAGAAACTGGAACTCGACGTCGACAGGCGGCTTGGCATATTTTCAAGGGACATTGAAGAAAACACAGGTACAACTGGTTTATACCTTGAAGTGAACACCTAATGTTTGTTCCAACTAAAATGGGGAGGGATACGGCTACTGAAGTTGAGCCTAGTTCATTTACCTGAAGGACTTTTGAGGGCAGACGGTATTATATTCATGGTGGTTACAAGATGATTGACATAAAGGTAACAGATACAAAAAGATGGGACTGATTTAATGTGATAAATTTATTATTTTAAAGCAGGGAGTGCTGAAAATTGTAATTCTTTCCATGGTATAGAAGGTATTTCATGACACAGTCACAAAAATAAAGGTACAATGCATTTGTCACTTTATTCATCCGGAAGTAAATGCTTTTATGCAAGTTTCTTGCATTGCTGTGTTTAATTTTGTGATCTGCTTTGTTTAAATTTTATGTAAGTGACAATAAAAGTTTCTCGGCCAAGTTTACGAAGTAGAGTTTTGATGTTCTTGTAGCAGTCTTCCTCTTTGCTTCCATTTAGCTGCATAAGTAGTGGCCAAGCATTTGTAGTTCTTTATTTCGGCCTCGTGTTCATTTATTTTTTTACATTAGGACAGCGACCATGAACATGGGCTTGTATTCTACAGAAATGGTTTGTGTTGTCAGGCATGTTTTAAAATCGAAAGGTATTTTTCCTACTCACGAGTTTCTTCTGAGATTTTGTGGGGCGTTTGAGTGTTTCAGTCTGTGCTGTTTGTTTATTTTAGTTTGTTTATTCTTTAATTACTCTCTCTCAAAAAGACAATTTTTCTCTAACAAGGCATATCTTGTTCACATGGGAGGCTCTATGCCGTGCTGCGCTCGGACGCAGCTTTGCAGCTGCTGCGCAAGTTGTCACGTGGTCTTTGAAGGCGGTGGCGAGCTTCGGGTTGGGTGCAGCCTATGTGATGCAATGTTCTGGATGTATATTGCTAAACAACCCACTGACCTGTCCGGATTTGTGGACTGCTACTGAATTTACCAGGCGATGTGTGCATACCGTGTGAGTTCTACCAGGGATTTATAAAACAGGCTTCTTGGTCCTAGTGGTGCATTGGCCAAAGCACAGGGCCCAAGGCAGCATCAAAGAATGACTGAATGAAGGGTTAGAACGAGGCAAAAAAAAAAAAAAACTTAGTTTTATACACTGTATATGATGCACCAAAACAGCTGTATGGGCTATTTGGTAAGATTCATTCTAAATGCTAAAAGTGGAGCGCAGTACAAAACAGGGACAAGAGAAGAGAATGGTTATGCTCTTGTTCTCTTCTCTTGTCCCTCTTAAATACTGCTCCCCACTTTTTTGCATTTAGACTGTATATGTTGCGGAGCTAATGTGCAATATTTTTTTGTTACTTTTATTTGAGTATTTACTTCTGATATTGAGCCTATTGCTATACAGTCCTTGAAAAATATCATTCGAAAGTTGAATATTGCAGACCACTTCTTTGTAGTCCCGCAAAAATGGAGGGAATTTTACGTAGAGAAAAAAAATTGGCAATTCATACATATACAACACAACAGTACAAACGGAACTTCATATGGATTTCCTTTAGCTTTGCACTATAAACAGCTGTATGGCAGCATCACTCTATCAGTCCTACCTGGTTATTGTTTCACTTTAGTGTAACTTTCGAAGAGGTTTAAGTGCATTTTAGTAGCTGTGACACTTTACTCAGTAGATTGCAAGGGGCAAAATTGTCTACAGCTTAGAAAGAATGGTTGTGCACGTACATACGTAGTCAGCACACTCCACTGTCCACCTTTCAAACACACACAGATGTGCCACAACTCAAAACGTGGGAGAGACTGCAGCAGCGGGAATTGCAGTTGTTGGTCACACCACCGCCCAAAAATGCTTATGAGGAGATGATCCTCTGGACTGAGCAGGGCAAGCTGTGGAAGTTCCCTATCAACAACGAAGCAGGTCAGTATCGTTTCCTTCCTCGCCTTATATGCAACAGCAGACTCGGGCATCTAAATGGCTTTCCGAGATTATCGTCGTCTTCAGTTCAACTGCGCTCACTACAGGATAAAGGCCTCTTCTGTGTTCCGCCTGGTCCTGTGCTCACTGCTGCCATATCATGCTCGCAAACTTCTTAATCTAATTTACCCTTCTAACTTTCTGGCTTCCCCTCACTCGTTTACCTTCTCTACAAATCCAGTCTGTTACTTTTAATGTTGCTTATGCGTTATATGTTTACCTGTTTTTTATTTCAACTAAAATATCCTTGAAGGGCCAGTAAACAGGCTCCCACTTTTTTTTACACTTGCCCATGTAAGCTTGCTAATTCATAAAGTAGGCCATGGTTATCATATTTTGCATAATATTGCAACGCTGTTTACTGAACAGACCCTCCATTTTGAAAAACAATTAGTGAACTCTTTTTCTTCTACTGACCAATCCTTCTTGTACGTGTAGTGATGAAATCGAGCCCATGGGCAACAACACACACCTCAGAGCTGGTCGATTGAACCTTTGTCTTACTAAATGCACCTTGGCATTCCAATTGAAAGATTGGGTGCTGAAATTGATGGACGTAACCTTTATTTCAGGCAAAACTAGAGGAAAGAATGAATTCAACCTGTTTTTCACAGACTGGTGCCTTGAACGACCATGCCGTAAACTAGAGGATGTCATGTTTGGTGACTTAACACGTTGAAGACTGGCGTGCCAACAGTGTCAGACGTTGCTCGCGTATCTTAATCCACCCAGCTCCCACTAGAGTTCCTTGAATCAGAAGGATCAGCACCGACCGCAAGTATAAACACCTAGTTGGGTTGAGGCCCCAAAATCGCGGGTCGTGTCTCAGTGCCTTTGTGGAAGAGGGGAAAGCGGAGATGTAAACGAGAGGGGGAGAAAGTGAAGTATCAGGACAGCAAGACATCCACAGTGCATCCCCCAGAATGGCTTTGATAGCATACCTTGCACGGACATGAAGACACCGCAGGCTTGCAATCCTTTACTAGTACAGCGAGCTCTTCTAAAATACCTTAAACCAGCTCCATCTGTTGGAACAGCCACATCTTCCGTGTAGAACTTCACTATTTTCGTCAGTTTTTTAAATTTTGGTCGGTACCCCTTCAAGAATACAAAGGTTTCATTATTCGACACCCAAACTTTGACAAAGTGTATGACCAATAATAAGTCACTTTTCATGCATTCACTGCAGCCTTTGGAAGGCAGTTGGTAAAAGCTTGCGTTCCGTGACTTCAATATATATGGATTTTGCAGTTAATGATGTTTCGATTTTTCGATTCAGTGACATATCAAAACTATAAAGTGATGCCTCTTATACTCATGACATTTCCAGATTTAGTGGTATAACACACAAATGGCAACAGGGGTGTGACGCTAAGCCTTCCCACAAATAATGCAGGTCTGGACGAGGAGGCGCAGATAAGCTTCGAAGAGCATGTCTTCCTTGAGGAACACATCGCGGACTTTCCCGAGCGGGGCCCCATCCGTCACTTTATGGAGCTTGTCCTGGTGGGGTTGTCCAAGAATCCGCACATTTCCGCCCAGCGCAAACGGGAGCACATCGAGTGGTTCCGCCAGTACTTCCGCGCCAAGGCCGATATACTGCGTGCCTCGGGAGCGCTGCCTGAGGAAGGCGAGTTCTTCTACTTGGGCCAAGAGGAGGAGCGCAGCAGCATCGAGGCCAGCTGAACGGCGATCGTAGGTGGACGTGATAATACTTCGAGGGTGTACGTGCTGCTAACTGCTCATTTGGACGCAGTAGAGGACTGTTGTGACTATGGTGGGAAATGTATTTTGGAAGCTGAGAGTGAAGTTGCTAGGTGCAGACTACAAACCACATGGTGGACGTGCTGAAATTATTGCCATAATTCATGCTGTGCAAATTTATTTAAAATAGAAGACGTAATAAATAGGATTCTGCAAACAAACACCATGTGCTGGCAGTGGCTTTTCTTTCGCTGTGATGCAGCACCGAAATGTTGAAAAAATGCGTTCAATATTACAGTCTAATTTCGTTAGTGAGGCCAGGCTTCTTTGTCATTGTTAAAAGAGAAAACACAAGTGCTGATAGGCCGTGTTTGTAGTGCAAATGCACGCGATTATGCTCCTTTTCGAGGTACTCAAGTTGATCTTGACTTCGTTAATGTACAGTAATTCCTTGTTATAACGAAGTCAGCAGGACCGCGAAAAAATTTGTAAGTGGTATTTTGATATGAGTGACCATTTGAGAAAAGCTAGAGCGGTCGAGATTTATTTGTGCTACTACTGTGAAGAAGTTAAAGACAATGTATTCAATGAAGCTGCACTTCATACAGTTTGAAAAAGTAAAGCACAGAGCGCCTTTAAATAACGCATTAACATGGCTAATCACAATCGCACCTTATCGAATGCTACGGCGCCCGCAATTTTTTGGCATTCATGACACCGCAGTTGTCTGGGATTTCAAAGCTCCAGGAAAACTATTTTTGTGTAGATTCCATCACGGGGTACAGCAGCAACACAATTACGACCAGGATTAACACTCCAGGCGCACTGCACCATGGAATGTCTCAGCTCCCGTTCACTCCGCACTATGTAAACAGCTTAGAGCACTCACTTGTACCCGTTACTAGGTGGCCATCAGTTGCTGGTTTGGTACTTTTGCGGCCTGTTCTGTGCCTGCATGACGTGCCAGTGGCATTATTATGACGCTGCATGTACACAAGGGTCGCTGCCTCCGTTTGCCACTTCGTTCTGAGTGGGTCAAGTTACATATTTGTGTGCTTCAACTACAAAGTAATGCAATTTAATATGCATGTGCATTAAGATCGGAAGAAATTTCTAATAAAGCAATGTTTCAAATAAAGTTAGTTTACTGCCCCACCGCGGTGGTCTAGTGGCTAAGGTACTCGGCTGCTGACCCGCAGGGCGCGGGTTCGAATCCCGGCTGCGGCGGCTGCATTTCCGATGGAGGCGGAAATGTTGTAGGCCCGTGTGCTCAGATTTGGGTGCACGTTAAAGAACCCCAGGTGGTCTAAATTTCCGGAGCCCTCCACTACGGCGTCTCTCATAATCATATAGTGGTTTTGGGACGTTAAACCCCAGGTATCAATCAAGTTAGTTTACTGTAATGAGGGATTGTTATAATTGTTCTGAACTTTGGCAACATTTAGAGGTAGCATTTGCTAATGAAAACATGGGAATCCCTATGTTCTAGATTTGAAGCGAGCAGTAGGCATTCTTGATAAGGCAGAGTCTAATGTAGCTGGGCTCAGTAGACAACATTTTTTTGAAGGAGCTTGAGCTAGCTAACATGTAAGACAGGGTTCGTGTTTATTCTTCACATGTGTACATGAGTAAGGCTAACTTGTTTCTCAAAAATGTTTCTTCAATACAAATATGCATGCAACCCTCATGCTAGAACATAGAAATTTCTGAAAACATAAGTGGAAAAGCACGGACTGAGGTAAAATCAGTAGATTTAACGTCATAAAATTTGCAATGACATTACAGATAACTTCCTTCCTTGACAGTGTAAAAAATATGCCACTCAGATTATGAATTATTCTTGAAACGTTTGTGGGCTCCCGTTACATATAGAGTGCTGTGACCTTACTTCAAAAATCACATTGTTAACTTGTTGTAGCATGGCAAAAAATAAAAAGATCTTTAGGTACCTTTTCTACATTGCAGTGTTCACTACAGCCACTGTGTATGTATCTATATATGTACTATATAGAAAAGAAACATGGTTATGTGGATTTATGATAGACCTGCTACTTTAAAAAATGAAAAAAGTTGAACAGAACAATTTTATAGAATTTTTGCAGTTCATGTTTCACTTAGTCTATAAAAGTTGTCAAAATACATATCTTTTGTTTTCGAAAGGCTAATGAAGACCATCATGTTATGAAAAGAAGAAATTTATATATATTTGTTGTGAACCATATAGTCTGAAAAAAAAAAGGTTATGCAAGAGCAAAGCAGATTTTTCACATGATTTTTAAGTATCCAACTCCAGAAATGGGGGTTATTTACTGTTATAAGTTTTAAAGGGGCCCTCGAACACTATTCAACCTCCTCATTCTTTAGTTGTTTGGACTGAAGTACAGGCATAATAATGCAGTAAGAACGGCAGCGATAACGGTACGTAGTCATAACTTATTCGATTACGAAAAAACATAATACATGAAAAAAATGCCTACCCTCAAATTGATTTTCATGGAGTCACCTCTAGATTTGATGGCTCTCCGCAATGAAATGACACTCTTGTTGCTTGTCCATTCCAACGAAATATTGACCTTTTTGCCATAGTAACAAATGTGGTGCCTGATGCCTAACTTGTCAGAACGCGAGAGGACGCTACTGTTTTGAAGCGAGTGCGTGTGGACATCAAGGCCCACTTCTTTGTAGAGGGATTTTCTTTTGCTCTTTAAGAGATCACATGTCACTATCTCATCTCGTTCTGAGAAGGGAATTCGTGGAATGATCAGGGCGCTGAAGTGCTGTCGACTTTTCACGAGATTTAGGAGCTTGTTCATCATGCTTCTTATGCTCGCACCTTGCCGTTGTCAGTGACATAGACACTAGTTCCCACTGCTCCCGCTAGAGTCACGGCCGTGCTCTCTCGCATAGAGTGACTGTATATGTACCTTTAGGTAGCAGAGTTTAGCAAGAGAATTAGACCTCCAGTTGATCAGGCGCTGGGTATCAATGCACGATGTTCCTTTCGGGGGCCCAGTTGCGTAGCTCCTGACTCCTAAACGCTGGCCCATTGTCTGCGACGATAACCTTGGCGTGCTTGAAATTTTATTTTTTGCAACAGTGCTATTACGGGATTCGCGTATTCTCTTCCAGCTTTGGCGGCAGCGAAGCACGTGTACTCATCCACCACGACCAGGAAAGCTTGGGTTTTTTTTACGCCTTCACTCTTCTTTTTTAACTTTTGCAAAATCAAGGTGAACAACTTCGAATGCTACAGTCGAATATTCTGGCAATACCATTCTATTTCCCCGAGCATTGTATTTTGACTTCACCATTTGGCACTCATGCCACATCTTCATATAATGGGCAACATCTGCTTTCATACTACGCAACGTATATCTCTGGGTACCTAAGTTTGTAGTATGTCCTCCGGAATCCGCCGTGCCCTTCTGAATGTGGACTGCTGTGATATAATTTCAGCACTTGAGGCACTTTGTTTCAGGGACATACATCTTCCCATTGCACAGTTCCATGTCTTGAGTGCCCTTCCATAGTTTCAGCATGTTAATGCTTCCATCTGGAATTTCTTGTGGCATGTGAAAACGGGACATGTTGTCAACGTCCTGATGCTTTTGGCCTGGTCTATGCATCACATCGAAACTGAATTGTTAGATATCGCTCATACATCGAGCTAATCGCTTTGTCTGTGCAAGTTGCAACAAATAGGTCAATGCCTAGATAGCAGTTAACAGGTCGACATGCCTGCTTTTCAGGTACTTTCTAAAGTACCTGGAGTCGTTACGACAGCTAGAGTTTGTTTCTTTGTTTTTTGTGTAATTTTCCTGTGTCTTTGAGAACGTGCAGGAATACTACGATGACCTTGAGCTCTCTTCGGGGTTGCTCATTTTCATCGCGTTGATACAGCATGGCGCCTGGAGCATAGCCAGATGCATCTGTATGTAATTCAAACGGTAGATCAATGTCGGGCAGTGCTAGTGCAGAGTCAGTTGAGATGGCTCGGACAAGTTCCAAGTAGCTCTTCACACATTAGTACGACCAGACGAAGGGAACTCCCTTTTCAGTCAATAACGCCGTGATGAGAATGTTCCTGTCTTGCACATTCCTTTATAAATGCACTGAAATGGCCTGCGAGTCCAAGAAACACTCATAAAGAGTATATGTCATAAGGTTTTGTCAGCTTGTTAATGCACTGGACGCCCTTTTTTTAGTGCCCTTGGTTCGCCCTCGAAAAAATTTTTCCAGAAAAACTTAGTCTATTCATGTTGATCTTAGGTCTAGGGCGGTGCTAAGTGCCTTGAAGATCTCCTCATGGTACTCTCCGTGATCTTCCTGTGTTTTCGAGTATATAATAATCTCGTCCATGTATATATTATAGAATGTTCTAATGAAGTCCTTGAGTACATCATTTTTCATCTTTTGGAACAATGATACAGAGGTCTTCCATCCAAAGGGATGGAAGAACTCTTGTATTCGTAGATGTCGAAAGAGGTGACGAATGCGGTAAATGTTTTTGTATCTTCTTTTAGCGGCATTGGCCAGTATTCTTTACATAGGTCAATGCGGGAAAACCACTGCTATCCTCCGGTTTATTCAATGATTTCATCAATTCGTGGCATGGATATGGGAAAAGATTGGTCTGTTTATTTATAAGCCTATAATCTGTACACAGGCAAAATAACTATCTTCTTTCGGTACAATTGTAATAGGTGAAGCAAAAGATGAAGTTGAATGCTTCATGATTCCCGCCTCTAGCATTCCTTGGAGAGCCTTCTTTAACCAGAATTTCTTGTCATGACTGAGCTTGTATGGTTTCCTCTTCACAATGGTGTTGTCTCATAACAGAAACGGTACCTCAATGGCTCTTTTGAATTCTGGGTAAGCGCCAACATACAAAATCTCGGGAAACATCAGGGGTACAGCTTTTCTGGTAGCGGGCCTACAGTAGGCCTTGTGGGCGATATTTGTTTTAGCACACTCGCTTCCAATTATACCTTTGTCATTCCAAAGTATGTTAATTTTCATGCGTGTCATGTCTTGATAAAATAAAGTCGAAATTGACTTTGGGTGCTTCTGGCACTTCAACTTTGAACTTCTCGCCTTCATTCTACGGACAGACTTCCACCCATCTATAATACTATTTACAAGAACCATCATAGCTTCACACACGAATGGGTTTCCCATGTATAGTATTTCTAGAATTTATACAAGGTTCTCGTGCATTAAA